ATACTACTTACATCGATATAAGTAGCACGCACCATACTATAAGTAAAAATAATTTAACTCATGCATTTCAATCCATTACTGATCATCAATCTTTCACATATGTTTACTTAAGCGATAAAATGTAAAATAATTTTTCATTGTTTTACAATAAAAAAAAGCAGAGAGAGAATGTGTGTGAGAGAGAGTAAGGGAGTGACTGAGAGAAGAAAATAAATTTAAATAGGGGTAGAAGAAGAGTTCATAAATCTACTTGATTTTTCTTTCTAAACAAATAACTAAATGACCTAACAGGTGTAAAATAGTGAATAAAATTGTACGAATTTTACATTCTTTTCTGGTTAATTCCAGAAGAAAAAAAAGAGAAAAACTTAACACCTCAAATGATTAATCTATTCTGCATTCTATTCTATGTAAACTATACATTTTTTTATTTAAATACTTCATTACGTAAGAATAATGTTGCCTAGCTACAAATCATTTTGTTTCTTGAATACATTCGTTTAATGCTATTAAAAATATCATTTTAATGATTTCCACATGTAAAGAGAAAAAATTATGATGTTTAAAGGAAAAAGCAAATAAATTAATATCACACAAAACTGAAATGAAATTAGTTGAATAAAGATTGTCTACAAGTTCCTATTCCTTTTTTATATTATATGAAAGGAAGTAGATCTTTTCTTCTAATCAGAAACTCTTTGTATCATCAAAAAATGAGAAATGAATCAAAATATGTTGAATATATATGACATAAACATTTAAATGTTTTCCATGTTTCAAATTATTTATTATAGTTACATAATCATAGGATTTATTGTAGATGATTCATCAATAAAATTTCAGTGTATTATATAATAGTTTGTCAATAAGAAATAAACAACAATGTATTCATTACTTTAGATGTTAAATAAGATTTGAAAGTCAGTATTCCATATTGTCTCATTGTTAGGTCCCGATAAACATAATGAATGGTAACTTTGGGATCCTTTTATGAACCAATACTAAACGTATATTTTTATCGTATATTTGTTAAATAACTAAGTTATTCATATTCATGTTCTTCTTATTATAAGCTTTATTTTAACCTATGAACCATTATTGTACGTTTTGCCATTCTTGAATTATGCCCTGTCTATTAGTCACTACCTCACACATTCACAGCCACATTTGGCCATATTTTGTACAAATATTATTTTCTGTTTTATGCTGCGTTGTGCTCTGTTTGATTGGTATATAAACTCAGTATGTTTGAAATATAAGCATTCACATTACAGAGGCTGACACTGGTGTTCTGAACTTAAGTGGCTGGGCTAGGCGGAAAGCAGGACCAATCAGGACGTGCTTTACGCGTCCTTGGTCCGATCGATAATTCGATGCTTTTGATTGGCGGCTTTGGGCATAACACTAATATAAAGTAGATTGTTCAGAAGACGTATAGTCTTCGTTAAACAACAACGTCACGTATGAACAATATCTATAGAATGTAACGTTGGAAAATGTAGATCGATATTGACAACGTTAGTAAACTCATTTTGATTACCGTCAAGTTTCAGTGGTGATATCTATTCTACTGCAGATAATGGTTGAATTTCGAAAGTCATAGTCTGGTGTTCAATACCCAGAAAATCTTTCCTTCAATAATCAAAAAGGAACAAAGTAATTTTCACGTGAAACACTTGTGGAAATTAGTTTAATTCGAAGTTACGTTTCATTTTATACTATCATCAGTCGGAGAGCTAGTGAAAACGAGGAAAGATGTTTCAATATTCAAGATAAATATTTGATTGAGATCATGAACCGATTGGTATTATACCACCGTCAAAAACCTGGAAGCACTAGGCGGCCGTTTCGTACTATTGTGGGACTCCTCAGCAGTGTGCATCCACGACCTCGCCCGCGGGATTCGAACCCAGGGCTGGATGCATTAAGTCTAGTACTTCAAAGTATTTTTTACAAATATCAGGATATTTATGCAGTATTTCATAATATATTCGTCGTATTAATAATTTATTCTAACTGTTTTATTTATAAAATGGATAATAAGTGCTATTATCAGACGGATAAGAATATAAAAGAAAATATGAGTTAATTCTCTAATAGCACAAACATGAAGAAAGTACTTAATCATAGACTAATGAATCAGTTTTACATTGTTTGAAACAATTTATATTTTTTACATGAAAGACAGTCATGCAAATAAGTACCAAGGTTTTGTTATCAATCGATACAATATTTGAGAAAACAATGTTGCTGACATGCTCTAAAGTCATTTATGATTCGGAAGCTCTAAACAAAAAGACTTTCAGATATGCATCGAAATTCTGAAACGACAGAACATTATTCTTAAGAAAGCTGAACTTGTATTTGAATGCTCATAAAATTTAAATAATTATTATTCCTTGCTTAAGCAACTTGAATACATTATAAATCACAGTCAATTATAATCAAAATAGATACAGTAATTAATGAGTTAATGAATATTTATTGAATTAAAGTAAAATGGTCACTCGATGTTTATCGAAGAACAATAAACCCAAATGGCTGAAATTTTTTTAGCAGTATAGTAAAAAGACTATCAGTAATCAAACAGCTGGTAAATATTGGTTCAGAGTCATCTGTTAGGTGATTAGAAGCATTTTTACTAGTGGTGAGCGTTTCTTATCTTGTATTCCTCAAAATGTCGCTAATTAATAAAGATCCAGAATTATTTGTACAAAAAAGGCAGGACTACTCAGCAGTGCGCATCCATGATGCCGCCTCGGGAGACTCGAACCCAGGACCTATCAGTCTCGCGCGCGAATGCCAAACCTCTAGACCACCGAGTCGGCTAAAGTTAGATATTGAAGTTAGACATTAAAACCTTGGAATGACGGCCTAGTAGGCTAGTGGTTAAGTGTCCACTCGCGAGACCAAAGTTCCTATGTTTGAGTCCCACATGTATGATCTTGAATGCTCACTGCTGAGGAGTCCATGCTAAGACGAGACGGCCGTCCAGTGTTTCCAAATTTTTCATGGTGGTCCATCTTCAATTGACTCATGACCTCGACTATTGAAATTATTATAATATTCGCAGAAACCACACCTGATTTTAATAAACCATGTCTTAAAATTCAATGTTGAAAATGTTTGCCTACATGAAATTACTCATCATGTTTTGTCTTTTAAAATAGCTTACAAGTTCTAATACAACCAAAATGCAATTATGTTATAAATCACAAAAATACTTTTTTTAGTGGGAAACATTGAATAGGTATTGATAAAAATAATAGACTTAACTAATTTTTCTAGTGATTTAAATTCAGGCATTTTATTTATGAACATTTTTTATGGTGTAACCACTTCAGTTTATTGTAGTTTATCAATGATACTATGCTAGGTCTTTTTTCTCTATCGTTAGCAATATATATATATATATATATATATATATATATATATATATATATATATATATATATATATATATATATATATTTAACAACTGAGAAGTCCAAAAATTGGAATTTGTATTAATGAATATTGCAGAACCAGTATATGCATTTATGCGTGAACGAAATTCTAAAAAACCCGAATGTATTTTAGTTAAATTTAGGATTATTTTCACAGCTCTGTTCAGTTAATTAGTGTGTTACTAATCAAGTGTACATGAATTTGGACATGTAAGTATTTCTAGATGTCCTGACACTCACTGTAACCGATAATTAGCAGGTTATTTATAGTTTTATAATCTGTGCTCGATTCGATTCTAATTATTTTATGTCTACTTAGATGGAACTATTTAAAAGTAATACAATGAATGAATTGTGATACTGAAGTGATACTGAAGCAAAGTGGCTTCTCTTAACAAAATACAAAAATTTACTTTTGGGTTTTGTAAATATATGTATCTTACAAGATAAATTTTCCATAATATTTAAATTAAATAACAAATTAACAGCTTGCGCTGTATATTATGTATACTAATGCCAAATTTTTTAAACTCTTAGTTTTTCTTTAGTGTGTTTGATATTTTGAGTGCAAATATCCATACATCCTAGATTCCTAATAGTATGGGCTTACAATATATGCTTCATTATTATCATAAACCAATCCCCATTGTGGACCTGGAAGCATTGGACGGCTGTTTCGTTACAGTATGGGACTTTTTAGCAGTGCACATCGACGATACTGCACGCAGAACTCGATCCCGGGACCTTCAGTCGCGCGCAAACGCTTGACCTTTAAACCACTAAGTCGGCATACAGTGGTGTTTATGTCTAACCTCAACCAATCAGCGATATGTGCGACTATCTTCCGTTATCTCCAGTGGGCAACTGCCTCACATTCAACAAGGTTGAATTCCCCTGATCACGGTTGCTTACTAGAAGTCTATAGGTCAAGCTTTAGCACTCGACCGAAGTTCTTGGGTTCGAGTCCCGCGTGCGAGGCCACCGATTCTCACTGATGGGGGGGTTCCATACTAGAACGAAACGGCTTTTCGTTGTTTTCAGTGGTGATCTAATAGTTCGGGATTTCAATGAAATTCAACAGTCTCCACAGTCTCATATTGAAAATAATATATGTGTTCATTAACTAACTAAAAATTACTTAACCTTCTGTGTTCTTCTGTTACGTTTATATTAAATTTTGGCTACTGATATTACCATTCGAACATCAGTTAAAATATAAGCTGCTTATGAGTTTGGAACTGAAACCCTTATCATTTCGATTGTTTATTGTCACTCTGAAAATTATAATTTTGATGAACAATATGAGTCTGTAGTTCTCAATATGTTTTTAACTTTTAAGAAGCTCACACAGCACTTAGGAAGCCTAATCATTATTATCTAAAAAACCACTTTACAGACTCTTGTTTACTGCTTGTCTAACAAACTACGTCAACTATCTTATTAGTCTGTTATAACTAATGTCGAATAAAAAAAATTGTTTTTATTTGTTAAAAAATGTTTTCACTCAAAATTCAATTTATTCTACATTGTCTTTCATCTTTTAAAAATATTCAGCTTTGCAATGGCTTCAAATAGACGTTGGCCCACCAACATTAATAACTGGAGTTATTCTGAAATCACGAGGAGATGTGAAAAATTCGCAATATGTAACACGTTTCAAGCTCTCTTACAGTAATGATACACGCCTGTGGTACTTTTACAAGGATGCAGCCCCTCTAGATCCTAGGGTAAGTTTCTTTTGATCAATAAGTGAGAGCGGAGTACAGATGATTAATTACTTACTTACGCCTGTCACTCCTCGTGGAGGAGCATATGCCGTCCACCAGCATTTTTATCCAAATCTATCCTCCACAATCCTTTCAAGTTGTTTCCGGTTTCTATTCATTACTTTGATATCTGCTTCCAATTCTCGACTCAATGTATTCCTTGATCTTCCAGTTTTCCTTTACTCTTCAGGATTCCAAGTTAGCGCTTGTTTCGTGATTCCGTTTGATGATAATAAGTGTTTAAAGCGTGCTTTGTTTAAATTGTTGCTAATTTTCATAATCAGCTTCTTTTTCTGTTTAATTCAAGAAAACATTTGTGTAACTAAATACAAGTCAGTCTCAGATACTTACTACCTTACTTAAGCCTGTTACCCCTCGTATAGTAGCGTATGCCGTCCACCAGGATTCGCCAACGAACTCCGACCTAGATAATCTTTTTCGGTTGTTTCCAATTGGTCCTCGTTCTCTTGATGTTTACTTCCAATTCTCGACACAATATGTTCCTTGGTCTTAAACTTTGCCTTTACCCTTCAGGATTCCAAGCTAGTGCTTGCTTCGTTATGCCATTTGAGGATTTCTGTAGTGTATTTCCTATTCATCTCCATCGCTTTTTCCTGATTTCCTCTTCAAATGGAAGCTGGTTTGTGCTCTCCCTCAGTAGGCTACTGCTAATGGTATCAAGTCAATGAACAGTGAGTATTTTATTCAGGAAATTGATTATAATTACCTGGTACCAATTTCATGAAGGTTACGGTAGCAGTTCCCCGAGTTTCAGTTCCTTACAATATGAACAGCTGTCTTCACGTTCGTGTTGAAGGTTCTGACATTGATCTTGACTTGTAGAAAATTATTTTGAGTTCCATATGTACTTCAGTTGTAGCAATGATGACCTTGTTTTGCCAATGCCTGCATTCACATCTGCACCAGATCCTCCGTGTTGATCTATGATGCTGACCATGTACGTGAAAGATTCCACCTCTTCCATGGTTTCTCCATCAAGTGTGACTGCATTGGCGTTCTCTGTGTTGTATTTGAGGTTCATGCTTTTTCTTATGTGTATGTTGAGGCCTAATGGTGCAGATGCTGCTACGTTACTGACTGTCTTCACTTGCATTTTGTTGATGTGTATCGGATAGAATGACTAGGTCACCTACGAAATGAAAATCATCTAGATGCATCCAAGATGTCCACTGTATTCCGTGCTTCCCGTCAGCTGTTGAGGTCTTTATAACCCAGTCAACCACCAGAGGAAAGAGAAAGGGGGAGAGTAAATAGCCTTATCTGATATTAGTATTCACTTGAAATGCATCTGTCCGCTGTCTGCCATTTACGACTTTGCAGTATAGTCCGTCGTATGAATTTTGGATGATGTTGACAGTTTTCTCAGGGAGACCATAGTGTTGAACAAGGTTTCATATTGTTCTCCTATCCACACTGTCAAATGCCTTATCGTTGTGAAGGACGTTGATGTATATTGACGCATTTCATTCAACTGATTGTTCAGCGACAATTCGTGGTGTCACGATTTGGTCTGTGCATGGTCGATCCTCACGGAATCCGTCCTGTTGATCTCAAAGCTGGAGGCCTACTGAGTCATTCATCCTGTTCAACAACACTCTGTTGAATACCTCACCTGGTACTGACAGCAATGTGATCCCTCTGTAGTTCTCACATTTGCTCAGATCTCCTTTCTTTGGTATCTTGATGAGTTATCCATCTTTTCAGTTTGTCTGTGGTACTTGTTCTTCTTCCCAAATCGTTCTGATTAGTGTGTGGAGCATACTTGCAGTTACCTCTTTGTCTGACTCCAGTGCTTCGGGTGGTACATTGTCAGGTTTTGCTGCCTTCGCAATCCTGGTTTGTTTGATGGCCATCCTGATTTCTTCGATTGTTGGTGGAGAGACATCTATAGGATGGACTATAGGTGGTGCTTCGTTATACGGTGGATTCAATGGAGCTGGTCTATTCAAGAGTTTCTGTTCCCCTGTCCTTGAATTTCAGTAATTTTCTTGCCTTTGCTGTCTTTGATCAGTCTTTCTGGTTTATTATATTTATTATATAGTGTATAGTAGTGAGTAGTAAGTTCCATCTTATTTACTGCCAAAATAAACATTCTTTCAAGAATGCATTTTTACTGTAGAAATAATGCTTGTACGTTTGATATTCCGTATAAAAACTTTCAATATGTACATTCAGAGAATAATTCAAATTGTTCTCATTAACTCAATAAAGTATTATTGACAACATGATTTAGAATCAGTTAAAATAAGTAAATACAGTAAATAAACAAATAAATTACCCAGTTCTTGTTTCATTTACCATAGTAATCATATCTTACTTGGTGCTATATATTCGTTCATTCTTCCTTACAGTTTCTACTTAGCCTATAAACATCAAATATCAGTGGTCGTCTGACTTTTATATTTTTACACAACTTGAATAAGTTGATATCTTAGACGCTTTTAAATTGCACGTTGAAAATAAAATGAATGTTTTGTTCCGTTTATTTAATTTAATATCGCCTTTAGGTTGTTGGTAAATCAACTAGATTACAGTTTCTTGACACTGTTTCCTAAACACGTTTGAGTCGTGTGTTAAGATTCATATGTAGTGACCTATAATAACGTTAATATTTACACCTCTGTCTTGATCGTGTATTACTCTTCAGTGTTTTGGAGAGTAATATCAAAGAACATAAATAGTAATTGTTTCAATTCTAAAAAACTACCGCGGAAAATGAAGTTCTATTTCATGAATTTTCTTTCAAATGATAGTCAAACTATGCTTAATTTTACATATCACATAATAATTATTTCCCTATGACTCAATAGTATTACATGTTTAAGTTCAACCAAAGAGAATCATATGTTATAATTAGAACGTTGACATATCTAACTCCTTATTCACGGACATCAATATGATATTTAAGTGAAAACCTATTCATCAGGTACATGAAATTTATTCATATTACATAATATTACCAAATTTTTTGAATACGTTTATAAACTCGGACTATTTTTTTTTTGAGGTACTAAGTCAGGAAATAAACTAATTAAATGAGTTTTCATATATAATATTAACTAATTTAAATTATTTTCTTTTTTCCTTGTGTTTTATTTTATCGCATGAATTCAATACACTATCACTAATATGTTTATCAACATTTCATCAACATATAAAATCTTCATTTATAATTTTATGGTTTATGTTTCACTTTGTCTTTCATCTCCACCCCATCATGAAAACTTTTATTATTTGGGGGGTTTTTTTGTTGCTGTTGTTAATTTTTTTTATTTTATTTACTTATTTTCTTGCTTGTTACTATTTTATTTTTGTTATTCAACATTGAATGAAAATTGTTATTATTTTTGTTTTAAGTCTACTGTGTGGTCATTTGAATGGAGTCAAAAAATGAAAGAATCAGATGATAAGATAAAATCTGATAAAGTAAAAAATATTTAATCACATTAAACTAATTATAATATTATATATATAGATACATGTATATATCTGTTTCAAATACGAAATGTTTATTAAGTTTCTTCATTTTACTTAATTACTTCATTTTGTATTTAGTTCAATCATATTTTTTAGTTGTGTTGCATGGTTTAATGAATATTTATTTTCAATATTTTTAGTTCCATCAGATGCATATGTTAAGCAATTTTACCTTATTACTCATTAAAATTGTACAGATTTACTTTACGGTTAAATATTTTAATAGTGATGAAAGCAGTCATAAAACATTGAACTATGAGTTACTAATGGATATATAATTAGTCAGTCAGGAAAATGTTGGTGTAAAATAATGAAATGAATTAAACATTGTTTATCTGACTGATTTGAGTGAAAAGTGGCTATTATTGATAAATCTTTTAATTGAACGCTAAATTCAGTTCCTAAGCTATTCTAGTAACCCCCAGGCTAAATCTATAGAGCAACTTGAACACGGGAGAAAAGGCACGAAATATGAAAGAAAAGCTTTACTCTAAATGTTCGTTTATGTACAGAAAATCTAGAGTTTTTTGATAGTACTTTAGATGGCCTTGGGTTTCTGGAAAATTCAGGAACGCCACTAAAAATAGTAGCAGTATATGTAGCCACCCAATCAGAAACTCAACATGTGACTTTTCACTTTCTAGATGTTTCCGGCAAAACGTCTAGTGAGTGCTGATTGGATAAGATGTTTCTTAACATTTTCAGAGCCTTTTTGGCTTTTTTTTTCGAGAGTTCTGGATATTTTCGACAATCATCTTAAGTATACAAACAATACTGACTTTAGTAGGGTAAAGTCTTTGACTATTCATACAGAGGGATTTAGTTCTTAGTTTAGTTGATTTGCATTAGCCTTCATATTCCATATAAACAGAACATTGAAAAGCTAATTTATTTAATGCATTAAAACAACAGAATTTAGTTTTGTTGATGAAAAAAATCAAATTAATTTGTTGGCTACATTGAAATCATGTAGCAACCAGTTTTTTCTGGACTAATTAACATAAATCTATTTTTTTTTAAGAAATAAGACTGACTAGTGTAGCATTCATATTGAACCTTTACAAAAGTATAGCTGACATTGTCTTTAAATTATTATTTCCATAATTCAATTTCAGTAAATGATAAGAATAATAAAAACTCACTATCGAGTTTGTTTGAAAACTGAAAGATTGATATGTAAAACTGTTGTAGCTTATTCTGACCACAACTACAATATGATTTCATAATAGAAAAAATACAAATGTTTCCAACATGTAAATATAACTTTTCAGTTAATTATTTCTTACAGACTGTATGAATAAGTAGATTGAATGTTTTCACTTAAATTTACAAAGATCTAATTAGGATTACGTTGGATGGAAATTTATCATTGAAAATTTCTAATTAACCTGTAAAAATGTCTAGACTAGTTTAATTAGACTTATCAGTTATGTTGAAATATATACACTTTACTATAAATCGCTAAGTGATATCTGGTCTAATGACAAATGGTTTATTATTATTATTATTATTGTTCAAATAGTTAAAATCTCAGTGTTGGTGCAATTCAAATGAGGCTACGACCAGCACTCTTATGTTTGCTTCACGTAATAATCACTATATTACATAAATTCAGTTTATAAAGAACCTCAGTGTGTAATACTTTGAATTCCGAATCGGCACAAAGAAAGTATAACTGGTAATTCGTTTAACATTGATTTAGTATTATCATATATGATAGTACATATGTGTTAATACATAAAACTTTTACATCAATTCAGGTCACGTTATCAATTAAACGTTTCATTTAATGTGTTAATCAAATAGGCCTATTCATTACACTGGACTCTCCTTCAATGCATTCAGAAATATATTGACTGTTACGAGGAATAAACTTTGCTATTTAAGAATAAGCAAAAGTCATCAGTAAATAAGCTTTAATTTAAATTCTGTATTTAAAACAAACTAAACACTATAAACCCATATCTTTAAACAGAAGGGGTTTCGTGGAAATTTTTAGAAATTTCAATAGTTGAAATCATGAGTCAGTTGAAGCTAGGCCACCATGGAGAACTTGGAAACAGTGAACAGCCGTTTCGTCCTAGTATGAGACTCCTCGGCAATGCTCATCTACGATCCATGGTGTAATAGTTAAGCGCTCACGCGCGAGACTGATTGGTCCTGGGTTCGGATTTCGCGGGGGGCGGGATCTTGGATCCGCACTGTTAAGTAACTACACTCCTAAATTTAAGAAACTGATAAACTACTATGTGTTATATATCCAGTTGTTTTGTTTGAAAGATACTACACGACAAGAAAATCTGCTACTTTAAACTAGAAACCTTTGGATCAGTGATGGTTTCAAAATATTCTTTAGTTATATTTGTTAGCTTTTTTGGACTTAATAACAATTTTCTCGTGTTTTTTTATCAAAATGTAATAGTATTATGATACTGGGATTTCACGCTTGAATGCTTTCTTTGTGTAATTCCTGTTCATAACTTAACACCATGTATGACGGTTTTTATCATCACAATCTAAATTAAAATAAATTCCATTTTTCCTAATTTTGTCAATAAGACGTTAAATTGAAAAAAAAATCGGCGAGACTCTAATTTAGGGACGACCTTTGAACGAATCTTAAATGACCCTGACGATTATTAGCCAATCAGAAGACAGTTAGTATAAAGTCAAAATATATTATAAGAAAGTAATGAATTACAGTGGATATTCTTCTTTTACATTATTTAAAAACTTGTTAAAAGTTGATAAAGGTTCAGAGGTTCTGGATTCATAATGCATATGATATAGAAATTCGTCCATAGGGTTAGGGTTGTAGCCTCTCAATAAACACCTGTTCTCTAAAATCCGTTGTAAACCGATCGTATGTTAGCACCCTAACCCTAACCTTAACCCTAACCCTAAACCCTAACCTAACCCTAACCATAACCCTAACGCCAACCCTAGCCTAACCTTAACCCTAACCCTATGGACGAGTTTCTATACCATATGCATTATGAATCCAGAACCTCTGAACCTTTATCAACTTTTAACAAGTTTTTAAATAATGTAAAAGAAGAATATCCACTGTAATTCATTACTTTCTTATAATATATTTTGACTTTATACTAACTGTCTTCTGATTGGCTAATAATTGAAATTGCTCAAGCGCTTCTGATTGGCTCGCCCCTAAATTAGAGTCTCGCCAAAAAATCAATGTTTGATCCAAATGAACAAAGACTAAGTAAATTTTTCTGAAAAATTTCAATACATTTACTTACATCTTCGATAAATCACATTCAATCTCAAAGTATTTTTCTATGAGACGTTTATACTTAAATAACACAACAATCTATATAAAGATGAAAGTAATGACCCCATCAATAAGATGTTTTATGCAATTGGTTCATTTAATCAATTCAAATAAAGCTAATACAATAATTGTAGTAGAATAGTATGACCTGATTATAATAATTTATGGTTATTTATCATTTACTTATGTTGTACCTCATTGTTACATTTTAATTCAAATATGATTGTAAGTAAATGATAATAAACCACAAAGTAGATGTTTATTATAAACTTGTATATATTGAATAATTAGCATGTAGATTTCAAATGGAGAATATAGAATGTTCTAAACTTTAGTTTATTATTATTTTAATTTGAAATATATTTTCGCGCATTTTTGTATTTATTTTAATATGTATGGCTTTTTATTTATTTTATTTAAATTTCTGCTCAATTTCTTAGTTTTGCTTTCTTGTGTATCAATGAAAAAATTTTTATTTATTTTACAATTTTGCATGTTTGCTTTTTTTCGTTTTCGTGACAAAATGAAAATGTTACTATGAGGAAAATAATTGATTTTTTTTCTGATAATTTTGTTCATCCTATGAACATTTATAACACAACCAAATTATATATTGGAATAAAACAAAATCATATATATATATGATTTACTAAAGATATTTGATGGAAATAATGAGCAAATCACTGAACGTATTCATTATTTGGCTACTCCATTTATTGCACGTTATGTACGTATACATCCAGTAATATGGAGAAGCCGTATTGCAATGCGTGTTGGTCTATTAGGATGTAAACAGAAAGGTTCTTGTACTGCTGGTTTCTTTAGAATTAACAATGAAAGTTCTTGTGGTAAGTTGTACTAGATTTAAATTATTCTAAAGATATTACATTTACTAGTCTTTCACATTTGAATAACATTTAACAATAATGATACCATCTATACAAGTGGTTTATAATGGTTCATTCCAAACTATTATGCTTTCAATTCTCTTACTTCCTAAACATCAACGGGTACTTCTGAATGTTTGAATAATTATGAAAATGATTAAATGACGTTTTACGGTGTAATTTATTCCGTAAATTACGAAAGTAGAATTTACACGTTATACTAATGAACATGTCAATCCTTTCAAAGCCTCTGATTGCATAATTAGGTTACGCGTGAAATGCGAGAGGTATATTTTAAATATAATCCCAGTATTTATGAGAATACATACATTTTATTTACAAACCTCACTTCGCGAAGTATCTATGTCGTTTACTGCAATAATATAAAATTGTAATAAAATCTGTATTCTAAAGTTTTCTTGAATAGATTACATATGAAACGTAAGGTAAAATATAAATAGGTCGTAGTTGAATCATAACCATAATGGAAGACAGCAATCGAAAAGGAAACAAGTAACGTAAAAATGGAAGCTCTTACTAATCAGTAAAATTTTAATGAATGTGAGAGAACCGAAAGTAACTGCTAGAAATGTTAGGAAGGTGTAATTACGAATAATAACTAAATCAAACTTAGGTATTCCCGTAAATGGAATTACTAGATAACAATAAAATGATTTTTATTGCTTACATATGATTGAGAAAGAAATTAACTACTAAAAATGTATTAGGTAGCATAATTAATATAAAAACATGTATTTAACTGGAAGAAAGGTGATCAATAAACCATGTATAGTTCTCCGATATACGAAGAATGGGGAAAAATTAGAAGGAACCTGAAGACCTGAAAATGCTAACAAGTTTACAGAAAATTAATAAATTAACTAAAATCCAGATAAAATCAAGCTGTGAAAAGTATGATCGGATGGTATATTTCTGATCCATCTAGCTGTAAACTGACATATAATTAAAAATATTGCAAGTTGTTTTGGATTAAGTTTGGAAAATTCCTATTCTACAAAGTCCATTTCGCTGAACACTGGATATCTGGTTGTCACGTACAAATGGCTTACAATACAACTCTCAAAGATCATGACATTTTATTAGCAGTATAGCCTATACACTTTGGAAGTGATTTGGATGATTTATTTCTTACACAAAAGTTGTAGGGTATCTATAGAAATACAAGTGTCTTTAGCAAACCAAAATTAGGATGCTATTGAACTTTATTTAAGGCACAGACTTTACCTTTGGGAATACCTATTGTGTAATGCTTGAGTATTCATAAATGTGCAAGCGACTTCATAAGCGATTTTCTAAAAAACCTATGGACTCAGTAAATGAAATGATTAAGGTCGAAGCTGACCACTAACATGAGAGTTTATCGAAGTTCACGTCACTATGAAACGTGATCTTCATTCCGCAACTCCCAAGGGGCTTAGAGGAGCATTAACAAGGTGTTTGTATTGCTTCTTAGCTCCTATTAATATTTTGACTCGTAAAAATTTGACATACATGTGTTTTCCATCTGTGATATTTATATTTGAATGAGTATTAGTTGCTGTAGATTTTCTCACTATTCAATTTCATTTATCTAGTTCCTAATCTTGCTTACAAAAAAAATGCTTGGTTAACACCAGAATCTTCAAATCATCGTAAAAGAAATCTTCAAGATTCTGATAAGGTATCACGATCATATGGTTTCACCAGTGAAGCAAGAAACTTAATTGATCCTGAAAATCCTTCACATTTTCAGTATACTGAAAATCAACGTCCACCAATGTTGGCTCATCATAGGATAAGAGATAACACCGCTAACTCAAATGCATTCAAATTTAGTAACATACCTCTATGGTCATCAGTTAATGGTATGACCAATGAACAATTCATGGGTGACAGCAGTGATAGAATGGCATTGTTAGCTGTTGATGGTTGGACAGGTGAAGAAATACTTTTAAAAAATTCAACTTTATCAACGAGGTCATCAGAACGTTTAATGAATGATGCTCCAGATAATAAACAACTTACGAATGATAGTTTAAATAAAAGAAGTATACAGAATGTTCTACACACAACCTCAATGACACAAAAGTCCGCCCATCCATGCACTATACTTGAATATCGTTGGCCCTTTGTTGAATTACCTTCATGGTACGTAGACCTTAGGGAGCATATTGAAGTAAAAGGAGTTGTTATTTATACAGCAGGTCATGGTAGAGGTTAGTGTTTAATCTTATTTAATCACGTATGATATGATTATGGATAATGAATAGTTTTATTGGTAATTTCTTTATTGAAATATACATTTTGATTAAGTTAAAAGTTCGTATGCTTATCAATTTAACTGTTGAGCATAATTTAAATTCAATACCTTTTGCTTATCCGTCATTCATTCACTGACCTACTGAGTTCAGATAGCCCAAATCGTGCCAATAAGCACAATGAGTTAACATGCCAACGAAGGACGATTAAAACTTAGTCCTAATAATGATATATCACGATGCAGCTGAACGGAAAGTTCAGAGTAATTTGGTTTAGCACAAAATGAGAAATTTTATGAAATCACGTGTAGAACACGAACTATACCTATTCTTATGTTAGTACACATAGGCAGTACCCACAAGGTATTATACCTAAGAGCCGATGAAAGTAACTGTATTTGATCATATAAACAACATCTTACTTTCTTAGCTAGCATACGACAAACATTATAATAAAATATAAGAATTATTTTTATTTCATAATAGTTCACTGAAAGATCCAGTATTCAACTTACGATGTACGCTCTACACTTCAGGGGCCAACTTGAATAAATGCAGTTTATCAGTCGATTGTGTTCACCTAAAATAATAGCGAGGCTAGTTCATTTTGTTATACTGAATACTTTAAAGTGGTTATTATTTTGGTATCATCATAATTCATCTTCACGTTTATGCTTTTTACTCTCTTTTTTTCAATTTAGTAGCGATATATTTTCAATATATGTTACCAGTCAACACCAAATAACATTTCTTTTGTTCCTACTGTCTTCCCGTGATTCTTATCCTATGAATTATGATTAATTACTTTATTATTTTTTTCTATTCTAAAGCTTACAGAAACTCATACATGTGTTCGTTTGCGTTCATGATTCTATAATTCTTTTGTAACCAAACTACAATGTACAGTGAATTTATTATTTTTCCGTTTAGAAAGATATATTTAACTACAAAGCAACAACTAACTGATGTAAAACGTATGTATTTTTGTCGTAAAATCTGAAATGTGAGTTATTAAGGACAATCGTTCCACCAAATATCTCTTGTTCAATTCATTCCAAGGTTTCGATAAAGATATAGATTGACATTCTCATGATTTCCCGATATCATAAGTTACAAATGTACAGTTTGCTCTCGAAATCAAATGATTTTTCCTATAGTTTATGACTGTACTACAACAATGCATTTATACACAAGTAATGTAATCTATTTGACTCAAGAACAGATCAATAAACAAATAACCCATGTGACTCAGTATATCAGCCTCAAGATAAATAATATCTTCTTATAACAAGCTAATTAACTATCCCACTAACTTACCAAAATAACATAAGCTATATTTAGACTCGATCAAGTAATCAAGCAAAGTAAAGTCATAAAAAACTGGGTGCTCAGTTAACATCAAGTTGTTCATTTTTGATTGGGATATATACACATCTATATTTTATTTCTTCTCAGATGTACCAAGTCAAATTTCTTCATGCTTTTAAATTTCTTTTAATTATCATCTCTATTTCATTTCGTATCGTCGTGAATATGATTATTGATCCATGAATACCATAAACAAATGCTATAGGGTTTCTTTTATGAGGTAGTTTTCATCAACATTTGACTCCAGAAACTTTAGGTCGTATTTATAGGATAGTAATTTTACATCAATAAGCTAGTTCACCAACTTATGCCAGTGTGCACAAAAACATTGACCTCATAACTGATAAAATCTGTAAGAAAACAGATTTACAAATATCATTTTCGTGAAATCATTTTTAGTCATTTCGTATTTAGAAGTCCTACTATAAAAAATATTCTTATATATTTTTTAGATGGAAGATATCTTCTGTCTTCTTTATTTGGCAGTGATGACAAAACAAAATTCAATTCAGAAAATTTAGAAAGATTATCTATCTATGTCGAGTCAGAGCCACGTCACCATGATACTAAAGCATTATCTAGATCAAGTTCTAGTCTATGTGGTTTTGTTACTAGAATTAATGATGCTATATTCAGTCCACGTTTACACATACCTTGCAGACAACCGTTAATCGGTCGTTATGTTTATGTTGAAGCTCGTGGAGTTCGTGGAAGGTGGTCACAAGAGTTTGCAGCTTTGTTATGTGAAGTTATGGTGTATTAAAACAAAGCTGTTTTTGTTAAAGTGTTATGAAAGTACAAACAATGCATTTATAATTATCATAATAATTGTCATTCATACCTCGTCATAATCATTAGCGAATAGAATCAATCATTCTTTTAATGGTGTAAAGGTGAAAGAAATTATCACAGTTAAAATGAATCTTACATGAAGTTTTTCTGTCCATTAAACGTTATTTACTATTATTTTTGTCTCATGACACTGTTTCTTTATATCAATTTTTTACGTAGGAAATACTTGTTCATCATCAAAATATATATTCACTAAATATATTTACACATATAACAATGAAATCATTGCATATTGCTTAATTATACATAATATGGTTAAAATGGTTCTCTAGACGAACACCTTATTTATATAGAAAATTGTTTAATCTAAAATAGCTTTATTTGTCTAACGCACATTAACTTCATTCTTTTCAAACTATGTAATCATCCTACGAACTGGAAAACAGATCACTTTAACAAGTATACCTTAATGAATTCATTTTGTTGCTTATACTCCAATATACAAATATATTAATAAACGTTACATTTAATAATGAAAATTGTTTCACAAATAAATCCTTTTAAAATAAAACTCTGGTAACAAATTTGTTTAGAATAGGGTCTCCCTCTTGTATTGTTTTATCATCTGCCCAGAAGATGATTAGAAGATCAGAAAGTGATTGATTCACAGTATTCTTAAAATGTACTTCGTTTCGTTATCATTTGATTAGATCATTTGTCCCTATCGCGTCAACAAATATATGGACCTAGTCTGATAAAGGGTTTATCTCGGCACTTGAATACTGTTGAAGCTGAAGCTGGAAAAAGAACTATATCTGAAGAAGTGACTTGGAAACACTGGAAATCATACGTATTTAAATGAAGATATATGACTAAATTGTAAGACAACCATAGAAATAATTGTTCCAGAATAGGATCACCAACTTATGCTTTTAAATACCATAAACAGAAGAAGGATTTTGCCTTCATTTATAAATTAATGCAAAACCTTTAACGTTTTAACAGAAACTTTGCATTCAACTTCAGTGATGATGAACCTCGCAAATACTTCAAGTCTGTAGGGCCAGTAAAATGTCACGACCTTAGCCAAACCATTGGGCATTTAGATCACTGAATATGAAGCAGTCTATCGGTCCTAGTCGTTGTCAGGGACAGCCAACGACCATCAATCAGTTCCAAGCTCCTGACTGACCCATGAGGAATCAGTCTCACTGTGTTTATTTCACGTACTCACACTAATATATTTCCGTAATAACGTAGTTTGTGTTGTACAGTCTTCAAAGTAGCCATTGTACCTGGATACGACGACAGGGGAGCGCACGTCAGATTTTAATCGTAATGTGTGACTTTGACGTAAACTGGTTAGTCAAGCCATACCCGTTCAGTCCGAGTAAGTACCCGCTCATTAACAAAGAGCACTTACGCTGACTCTCTGCAAGCCATCTGGAACAAGTGTTCAAGCCATAGAACTTATTTTAAGCTTACAAAGCATAAATAAGCAATGTGTTTCATGAGATTTTTAGTATACTCTTGTACAGTTATCCCGCTAATACTCGCCGAAAATCAATCACTCAGATATATTTAGTTTAGTATAATTGCTGGTATCTTATGATTGTAGATAAGACCCTAATTTAGATGAACGCATAAATATGCTGTGAACATAAATTTACTGGATCCTTCCGTAGACCAAAAACCAGAAGGCAGTTGACGGTTGTAATAAGATATATCTCTTGGCAATCGCGTGATATCAAAATAATACCGAGATCGTGCTAAAGTTTACAATCGGAACGATTAGGTGTACACGAGTCCGTGCAACGTTACAGTCAACGGAAGAATGTGTGTTTTTAGTGCACTTAAACATACAGGTACAGTAAAACAATCACTGGTACCATTGGTTATAATAATAATTGTTTCCATTATACCAATCGCGTTCTTTCCATAAAAGTAGGTCACTACAGTACTCTGATCATGAACAAGTAAATGCTTCTCAGAGACAAAGAGTTGCTGTGAAAGCTTATATAAACTTAGTGAAATTACATTTAAAGATGCCACAGTTATTCGGAGTTTGGCAATATCTTTACGGATAACACTCTCGTGATCTTAGTACACCAGCCTGATCAAATCAGAAGTCCGAAACTATGGGGTTAAAAGACGTAATTGGAAAGCTATCAATATGTCCGGAGACGTTTGGTCTGTGGTGGCTAGTAGTTGGAGGGAAAGCGCAGCATGGAGTAATCACTTTTGATATGATGAGCATGCGTGATTGAATGCCTTCAGCTAGGGTGTGTCTAGTAAAACCGAGGTTTTTATTAATGTCGGCGACTTACGGAACTATTTATTTCATGTAATTATTTACCGTTACAAATTCAACATCACTCACCGGTAAAGTTGTTTTGTTCGGAATGTTGAAATGACTTGCTGAGCTTTGCGGAAGCTTTTTTCAGCATGGACAGCAGATTAACCATGATACATCCCATGATATCACTTACACGTAAAGAATGACTTTAATTTCTATTAATAACAACAGTATGGTGAACTCAAGAACGACAAACGAGTCGATAGAAAGGTAGGTTTTAAGTACCATGTAGTAATACAGTCTAAAAAAGTGTTAATTTCAACCATGAAGATTGTGGCGTCGGCTGCTATGTTAGACCCCTATGGCTTTGAAGATGCCACAGACATTCGGAGTTTGAAAATGCTTTAACCAGTAACACCTAATATGAAGCATGCCCACCAAATGAAACCAAAAAACAGAAGCGAGAAGGTTAGAAGATATATTTGATAAGCTACTAATATATCGAGGATCATCTGATCTAATCTGGCTAGCGATTGCAGGGTTTGCTGAGTACGGCGTTCCCACACGTGATCTGGTGCGGATGCATGACCGAGCGTCTTCAGCTAGGTAAGTTCATTAAAACATGTGGTCAGCATCCAATGTTGAAAACCTACAGAGCTATTTATTTTGGGGATTTATTTACCGCTTCAGCTTATTCCAGCTTTTGGATCAGACAATTTTTTCATTCTGCTTGATTCATTTTTTGACCTTTCAATTTATTCGCTTGTCAACCTTGACAGTTTTTCTATATGTATGTGTTCTTCTTATGTAACTCATCATATGTTTGCAGCTTTTTTTGTTTGACTCTAAATATCGATTCACACTTGGTTAAATCGAGTTGTCACATTCGCATTCTCCATTGCGGTTCATTTAGTTTCGCTTCTCTTACTCCTCTTAGCTTCATTTGCTCCGTCTCTCTGATTGTCTGTTCAGACCAACGATTGTATGAAATACACATATTCAAAACTCAGTCTCGTATTTGACCTATTCAATCCCTTCATTCACCAACACGTCTGAAGTCAGTGATTGTATTCGAGGATTTGCGACATGTATATTTCAATAACAATCAACATACGATCTAACTGAAGCCAGATATAAGACCACAAAGATGATGAGCCCAACGTGATCTAGTACACCGATTGGTAAACCGTGAGACCGTTCCCTCATGGCACGTTTGAATTATAAAAGGTGCTACTGGTGAATGTGTTGTCAAACTCCTAATACTTCTGGCATCTTTAAGATGTACTCATACTTTGAATTTTCACGTGCGATGAACGTAAAACGCAAAGTTTATAAAATTGAATGGTTTGAATTTTTTCATATCGGCACAAAGTTACGCTTCCGATCGTTCAAACTGAATTCTACGAATGCTGCCTGCGTTTACGTTTGGTTACCTTGATCGAAACTTCAACAGTAATAGTTTATGGAGATAGGCTAAATTTTGTTGTCCGGAAATATGAATATTTTGCACTATTCAGGATCAGTATAATACATATTGAGTAGCATCCAAACACATAATATTTTCTGGTCGATTCGTCTTTGAGTCCGATTTTTTACCAAACAGTGATTCCTTTTCCAAAACTTCAAGAATATGTTTCTTAAGACCATACATAAACAGTGTCTATTTTCATAAAATAGTCACGTTTTAAAGACTCAATTCGAAATATAAGCACGTTCACGGATTTGCAAGTAGACGAGTAGGTAAATCCAGCGATAACCTATTGGACATGTCTCTTCGTTGTTTAGGTTTATCAGTTGTAGATTACAAATTTTTAGCTCGTTGGTTGAATTTTCATGAGGATGACCGCTTTACTATCACGAACATAGTGGTTTTCTTGGGGTATTTGCAATAGCGCTGACTTCATAAATTCTGCTCGGATCATGTCATATAATTCTAAAACAATAAATCATACGATAAAATGTGTCAATCTGAAACGCAGCAAAACTTTCAGCCCGTCACCTGTTCCTGATAATTTGTAAGCGTGATTCATAACACCAACTTTTAAAACTATAGGGATTCTGCTTCGCCCACTGTTCAACAATGCATTTCGTCTTACTACTCACTTATACAGTGCTTTCAAATGTAGGTCTCCTTTTCGGCTTAAATATTTGTAGTCATGACGAGCAAAGGTTTCATAAGAAATACTCTTGTTTACCCCTCCCGAATCTGGACTTGGTTGAAGGTAGAAGTCTAGCGCATGAGGTGACTTATAATCCTGTGACTAATAAAACTTTAGAAACGACCGAACAACTTGACAAATGAAGCTTCGAAAAATGACACCGCCCAAATAAATGATTATAATGTTTTCGGGTATTCAGGGGGTCCTTTATCAACACTGACTAAGTCACTGCTGGGTATACGCGAACCCTTGGAGTGGGTAAGCATGCTTCCTTTTTTTTCTTTTAGAAGCAAGTTGATGTTGTGCCTTTTATGTGTCGTATATCATGTCTTCGTTTTTTATATTTGTAATGAAATTCGATTCGTTAATTTTAGTTAAGGTGTTACTGGTTTTCTTACCATATTAAGTTTTTTCTGCTAATACAAATGAGCCTACTTCCAGTTACGTGTTTATTTAAAGTCCCTTTCCACTGTTCAGTGTTAACAACGGTTTCAGCGTCAGTATTAAACTTTGATTTTTTTTAACAAAATATTTTCTCTGTACTCATTATGTATCCCCACCTGACAATCTTTGCACAACTCACTCTCTGTTGTTCAGAGGCTTCTGATTTTACTATACTGTTTATCCAACTAATTAAGCTGACGATACCATATTATAAAAACCATCATGAATACTTAACAGTATGATGAACTTGTTACTGAATGTAAGTAGTCCCACAAAATGTGTTAAAATTCATTGGGGACAACAATTTAGGAAGCTGTAACTTTACTTGTTGTTTGTTACTTTCGTTATGTATGTAATATTTTGCTTGATTATATATTTTGTCAACCTGATCTAGAAGGATACTATCGAAATTCGTCAGTTAAGTCCTGGATGCAAATGGCCATCTGAGCTACTCAATCCGATCAAAAGTCAACCAAATACAACTTTATATCTATTGACGGAGTTTCTCGAGCTGCAATTAGATGACGGTAACCTAGAACCTATTTTTGGTTCAGCATTTATTTACGATGTTCATTCGCGCCTTAAAGTTTCGGAAACATTCCATTTTGATACCAATTCAACGAGAATGATGAACTTGTTTAGTGGTAGTATGACAAACCAGCAACTAGCTTATCGTGATGTGACCTCATTAGCACAGACCTGTTTGTTTCGAATAAGTAGTCGATACAATCTGTCCAACTCAACAGATCTAAGAAGTAATATTACGAAGCCTTATTTAAAAACACCCTCTGGGGGCTCTGCGGAAAAAATTGGAGTACACTCGAATGTTCCTACAAATGACTGTGAATCAAATAACGACGATGATTTTGGTTTAGAAGACGTCCTACTATTTGCTTCAGAATGGACTGAGAAGCTTACTTTTAACTCTTGTAAAACATCTTGTTGTAAAGGCGGATTGTTTTTAATTATTCGAGTGAGCTAGAAGGAATAATCATTTTATAAATGGTTTGGTTGTTAATATTTCAATTTATATATTATGTACTACATAAGTTATTGTTTTAGTATATCATTTTGTTTCGTCGCTAGAGCAGTATCATCAGAGTTCAGTCCCTAATGACTATAACTACTATGTCACACTCAGCACTTTCAGGTTCGATTGCGATTTCTGACTTCTAAATCAATTTTTCAGTGCATTTGAATAAAATAAACGAATATTAACAATTATGAGATCAACAAAGATATATATATATATATATATATATATAAAGTATTTAAAAATAATCTATTCCTCTTGCACCTTATAACATTCAGTCATGTATCGAATTCAGTGAATAGTGTGGTATATTTTTAATATAATTTCTTAGAAGTTTTATAGTTAGAGATTTGTGAAGTTAGTAATAGTTCCAGCTCTGTCAAGTTGTTTACGAAGTGTAACAATTACAATTGTTTAAGCTTTTCTCTACTTTTAAAGCTGTTTATTTTTTAGTTTATTCCAATCAAACCAGAAAGTATATTATTTCATTATCTTGAATATCCGGAAGATAAACATTCACGCGAAAATCACACTTAACTTGAGGTTCAAATAGAATATAAAACTGATGAGTGCGAAAAATTATCTAATACCAATGTAATTTGTTAGTCATTACATTTTGCCTCATCTAATATCAAAGTTTGAACTGTGCTGATGTCTTGTTTTTATTTATTGGTTAACATTTGCTCACCATAAAGTTAAGTGATCAATGATTGGTTTGTTTATTCGGTTACTTTCCTGTTTTCATCGTTGCGGTTACTTATCATAGGCTTTAGTTTTAAGAACCTTTCCTAATGCTTATACTGAGTTAAATAGCTCTCCACGTTATAACCCGTTCCTCTTTGCATCTTACAGGCCATCTAGACTGATCAATTTCATGAATAATGTGTTTTGATCTAACTAAGCAAGCGCAATATATATATCAAAACCCAACTTATCTCATGGATCAAGTTACAAATCCACATCTTGATATTTATGCAAAGGTTCTAAGAAGATTACTTTTTTTTACTTTATCCTTAGCAAAACAGTACATAGAGAGAAACTTGTATTAGGGTTTAATTTATAATAAAACCTTAAAAATGTTTGTCTTGAAATGATTTTAACAGGTATTCATTCGTAAAATGTCACTAATTCTCTTCAATTATTTGCAGTTTCACTAATTTACGTTACTGTGATTAAACAATGCGACTCATTTAATCATTTAATCACTAGTCATGTATTTCCACCGAACAATTAATTTTTTTCTTACTTTGACAGGTAGAGAAGGTATTACAACAAGGTGATGTAAATGATATCATTGAAGGTTATAATAAGGATGAAAAAGTGAGTCATACACTTTTCTTTAGCATTTCACTTTTTTCCCTAGAAAGGATTATCATTTTCAAATGTTCCGTTTGCTAATGTTTGCAGATAATTTTAATGCTTAACAGATCCATCTAAAATTTAGTACTAAACTGTTACGGGACACGTAGTATAGTAAAATAATCCTGTATAATATGAACCTTGAGCCGTTTCTAGGGTAGTTACTTCGGTTCCTGTAACTTTGTACCATGTACTACCAAATTATACTAAGGAGTCTAAAAATCAAAATGAGAAATATCTTTCGTATGTGTTGTGTTCTCTGAGTTGGAGGATTTAATCATGAAGGTTTTATTTTCTTTCTAAACAACGATAGCAATGTAATAGTGCAGCAGTTGTTTGCATACAAACAATCAGTCAAATTTTAAGTGAACGGAACATGTTACTATATTTAATACATTTCATGCACAATCAGTCATCAAAATAAATTTGCATTGCACAAATAAACTGAAAATGTGGAAGTATGGTCTAAGGTAAAGAAATGAGGACAGTTTATAATGAGCAAAGTAGTTCAATTAGAAATACAATCAGAAAGAATCCTATCAGCTGAAGGGATTTCTTTCACCATCTTATTCAGAATGTAAAAGGAAATTTCAACAGAATCGGCATTGGCTTCTGTCCTGATCCCTATATGATAGCTTTTCAAGCTAAGCCACTTAATTGCATCATCTCCCTATCTTCAACAAAAGAGTTGTAATGTGCCTCAACAGACCAAAATATTTGTCAATTGGGCGAAAATTCTAACAGCTCAATTCTTTTTAGAGTATTTATTCATGATGTTGTTTAGAAAGATAGTGAAAAGTTCCAGATTAACCCATCTGGGTTTGTGAACGAAATACCTACAAATATTTTTCATCAATTGACAAATATCCTTCCAGTTTTTATATTATTTATAAAGTTTTGACTTATTTTACTTCATTTTATAGTATTAAAGTGCCTTCGAATTGATCTAGTCTACATATTATTATGTTATATGTTTTCTTGAGTAGATTTTGTTCTATTTTAGCTTCAAATATTTGATGTTACATTGTATTGAACCATTCATAAATAATTCACATGCAATTTATCACCAGAATAAAACATTTATTTACAATAAAATACAGTTAGTATGTAACAGCGTTTAATGCAATGCACTTGTTTTTGTACTTAATGAATTGGAGACGTATTTATTTACTTACATTGACTGTACAAATAAATAATAAGCAAGCTGAATGTTTATTCATAAAACTTTAATTCTTCTACACACAAATGGCACTAAGGATAGGGAAGAAAGAAGTTCAAATAATTTCTTTTTGTTCATTCAGAATGTAAAAGGTTAAACTATTTCTTAATGCAATGTACATACAAGAGTTTGTAGTATTTTTTACATCAGTGACTAAACAGCAAACATAGTATCAAATTAGTCATCTTTTGTAATTGAGAAATGATCTGCTGGTTTTAATTGGTAATGTATGGTTTTACAATACGACAGGCCTAATTTATTTTTTTTCATTTTACCCTCAATTTGGTCATGTTATTCGACAATGTATTTCATTTTTCTCTAGTATATTAGAATGTAAAGCATATAAAATTATCATATATTTGTGTGTAGTTTTCGTCATTTCTTCTGCAAAGTATAAGTATCCAAGGATATGCGAAGTTCATATCAACTATGTCAATGGGAACTTAATCTTTGCACAATTAAGGAGCTATTTGTTGGTTACAGCACTCACCTTTCGACCGATAGACTGGAGGTTTCGAATATGCTTCACCTATTTCAATGTATTGAGGCGGTTTATATCACTTTCATAGTCGATTACACGGAACTGTGCTCGACGGTAATTCAAGTAGCCTGACTAAACTTCTAAGCCACCTTTTTTCCAAATGTTTTTATTCTTGTATATTTTCCCGTTTTAGATATGCTTCAAGTAGTTAATTATGTACGTTACCGATGCATTGTAAAGTATTTGTTCAGGTATGGTGTGGATTATCTTAAAAAGATTGGGGTTTCATTTTCGTGGTTGACTCACGACGTCGTTTCGTCTACTCTCCATTGAGTTTTCAGAAAAGCTAAGAAAACGTTTCGCAAAAATATTTAAGATCTTTACAGAGACTTATGCATATTCTGATTCCCTCTTAAATAATTGAGTTTTCGTACTTGAAAAGTAGTCTGGTTTAATATGGAAAACAACCATTCACGACCTTAAAAAACTCTTCAGCTATCCAAACACAGCATATACATATACGTTCCAAAATGTTTAAGCAGCAGATTCTTAGTTTCATTTGCGTGCACCAACTGAGTAGCAAAGAGCATAAACCATCCAATTCATTTTTCAACGTCATTCAAGGTCAATAATTCCACCACATTGAAATGTTATTCCGAAATAATTTTAAGTGTTTGTACTTTTAAAAATGTGGAAAATTAGATAAACGTTTCAAGTTAACCTGATAACACTTAATAAGGATCACCTGTTTACAAATTAAATGGAATTTAATATGCAAAAAGTATTGTGCCCATCACGACACCTGAAGGTCGTTAGAAATTACATACTCATAGACAACAACTATCAAGTGCTTCATCAGTTATTTGTTATATTTGTTACTAACATCAATTATAGAAAAAAAGCAATGTAAAAGCAGTGTGACTTCTTCCAAACCAGGTAAGTAATTATTTCCAACATATTAGTCTAGAAATTCAAATCCAAATATTTTTTTAGATTGACTTCAATTGTTTGATTACTTTACATTAGGTAGTAAATATTTTTAATAACTTATCCATCTATTTTAACAAACTAAATAAATTGTCAAATTTAATGTGTTCGTGTATTGTGTTTTCTTTTACAGAATAAAGATAAACTGAAAACCACAATAAACTGGTGTTGTCAACGCTTAGGACGTTATCGTATGCCCTTAGTTTGGACTGCTGTTGATTTAACACCATATATGATTGATCCTCGTAATAAATTTATTCAATCACAAACTGATGATACTCATTGTGCAAAAACAACGGAATGTAAGTATATAGACGTATTTTGTGCAGTATAGAAAAATGATGTTCTTAAGTCTTATAAAGGTCCAGTAATTTCTTTAGTGATTACTTAAGTAAACTGGTTAAATTTAAAAGAATTCATTTACGTACATGCTGTTATTCATCAATCATTGAAGTTACTCGAAGTGGCCGACATAAAACTATATATTTGTAGATATTACGATTATTCGAAATCATTCGTTGTCTCTAATAAACTGATTCCTTCTCTAAGATCATATCTCTGTAAATTACACTTTGAATTTATTTTTTTATAAGCTGTTTACTGTTTAATTTAGTTGTCAACATTTATGCCCGTTGGCCGATGAGATAATAATTTTTACACTTACGATTACACGATTTGAATAGCATTATTAAAAAAAATAGATTTATGAATGATCAGTCAACTTAAAGCATTCGACAGTTTTAGCGTTACTTTTTTTGTTTGGTTTGAGTGACTATGATTTTTAATTCATGCCTAGTAATAATTCATCACAATTGCGTGTTATGTTCTGCTTTCTAATATCCCTTCAACACATCAATCTGATTTTTGTTGTTGATTCATGTTAGTCAATGTAATTTGTTTTTAGAATTGATTATACCACGTATGTAAATATCACATTTTTATGCTTGCATGATGTCTTTATTTCTTCATTTGTTTGTTTTCCTCTTTCCACTTTTCACTAAGCCATTAATCTCAACAAACAATATTCTGAGTTTAATAAACGAAATTTAAATGGTGGCGGTAGTACACGTAGTCGGTCAGTAGATCCTGCTTTACATAATCATTCAGAGGATAATAGTGTTAATCCTCATGATTCATTATCATCATCAATATTTGGTGTATCAAATAGTCCAGAGGGTTTCGTAAAAAAAGCAAAATATGACTGGATAAAAGGAATGGTAACTAGTCATCATGAAAAACGCTTTCATCAAAGTATTTCTAATTGTTCAAAAAGCATCGAACAATCAGATTCAATATGCTTTTCACCTATAGAACTAAAAATTAATAATTTTTTTAGACAAGTAAGTTGTTATGCACATTTAAATTAAAAGCTGATTAGTATTATTTTGAAATTTTTTCAGGTTTCTTATTGATTATGTTAGTTTTTACAAAATTTGATTTTAATATTCAGGGTTAATTTTTAGATCAACTCTTTTTACAATCATCTGTATAATTAAATGTATTTGATTCTTGAATAATATAGGTTTTATTTTTATCTTTATCTCCAGTTCACTTACTATCATAAAGATTGTTGAGTTCCTGTGAATTTGACAAATTTAGCTCTCGTCATTTGAATAAACTCATGGAACTTACATTCCATTCTTTTAAATGACTGTCCAACCCATTTGTTTCGGTTGTCTCATAACTAGTACTTTGCAATTGTAATATTTATATTACTTTTATTGTGCGGACAAGTGTACAGATAACTACTTCTTTTTCAGTTTTATCTATTTATATTTATTTAGTTAAGATTATAGATTTTTGCACTGTTGATTTAATTTATCTGGCATTCTAAGCGAATGATGTGTTTATGATTTTGTGTAATGGTAGTGTTTTTATTATATTTACTCTTTACACAAGCTTAAGTTGTTTCGAGTTATTCAGTGAAACGTACCACATATACTCTATTCGATAATCGTGATTGTTTTCATTAAATCTCAATAAATATTCGCTGTATACACATTTATGACTCTTGTCATGTAAAATAACTATAGTTTGATTAATGCAATGATCTGTTTGTAAGCACTTGTTTGCTTAAGGATGGAAATCGCTTCAATGCACATTTGTCTTTTTTATTTGCCATGGTATCGATAAATACGAGGGGAATGTGAGTTAAGGCTGTTATCATCATAGTACTCGTTTTCAAAATTTGCGGATAGTGTGTTACAACTTTTTGTACCTCAGTGATTAATATCACTTGACTTGGAACCATTCAATTGCTAATTGGAAGTTCGCTCTATCAACTTTGATTTGTGCAACTTATTAGTTAGTATTGATAGCTCTTAAATATGAACAAACTACGGCTCATAATTGAAAGAATACTTCGGTACTTAGTAATGGACTCCTAGTTTTTTAGATCATGTGTATATATTAAGGTTATTCTGTACATTTTCTGTCTGTGTTGACTGGCTAGTCCTATTGATTCTAACAAGTGTTTGTTTTCAACGTTTTTAGTAAATAGTGCGTCAATTTTTTCGACATGATTTTTTTATTCTAAGTACTAATAAAAGCGCATTTTTGAATAGAATTTCTGTGTACAACCGTGTGTATATTAATGCTTTATACTAACTAAAGATCTTATAAAAACATTTCATTGCCTCATATATATTAGTTTGTTAAAATCTAGACTGGTTTTTTTTAGTGTTGATTTAGCACAATTCTGTTGTTGGTATTTGGTATATCTTTTGCTCTATTTTATAAGTATATCTAAAGTAATTCGATTATAGCAGTTAGTCTAAAGGACCATTTATTTTTTTTCACAATCATTGATCATAGAGTGGTAACGAATGTGACATATGTCTAACTGTCAGTGCTGATTAAATTTTGTTAATCAGATTGTATTGGCAAACTATAGTGCACGTGATGATAATTCAATCACTTTGGCTAGTTTTTTCACTGAAATTTGATGGATACTATTTGATTCATACTAAGAAAACAGACCAATATGACTTACTTCACACTGATGAATTAATGTAGATTGTCTTTAACCTTATTTTTATCCAGTAAATTAATATGCTCTTTATAGTTTACCCTAAGAATTATAGACTATATTATGCATATGAAATTTATCAATATTTTAAACGTGAAATGACTTGATTTATGATCAACTCAAAGTAGAGCTTTTGGATGATTTTCCCACTTTTTTTTCTTTTTCAAGGAAAAAGATCGAATAAATGACGATGAGTTATTTCGTCATGTTAATGAAATTCATCGTCAAACACTATTTAATCATCGACATGTCATTTCACCTGGTCCTGGATTAAATGGTGTTTTAATGAACAATCACGTTGCTACTAATAATAACAGTAATAATTCAGAGAATTCTAATTTAAATATTTCCAACTTTTCATTAAATCTTTCATCTGCATTTAGTCCTACTAGCGGTTCAGTGAGACGTTTCAAAACAATTTCTAATATATCATTAAATATACGTTTACATTGGGCGACTTCACAAACTCTTATCAATTTGTTAAAGTCAACGAATCTAAAAATTGAAAGATATTCAATTTCAGAAAGAAAAGATGAATTAAATAGTCAGTCTAGCATTTTGCTCAATCCCGAATGTCTTCCGTACATTGGTTCTATTTTTCAAGCATTTAGTGATTTTTCTGTTAATAAAGTTGACAATAACTCTACAGTGTTTGAACATATACCAAATATGATTCGTGAAGTTCTTGAATTGCCTTCACCAGATCTAATGGTCCCATTTACATCATATCGGTAGGTTTACTTTTTTTAAATATTTGCCTGTTAAATACTCATAGTATGTGAGTGAGTAGATTATAAATTTGTTTTGTTGTTTGCGAGAACACAAGGAAATTGTTTCATTTATTTGCAAATTGACTTTACCGTCAGTATTTCCACTTATTCATCGTTGGAGAATGAGTTATAAACATCCAGCACATAATATTTCCATTAATTAATCTTTTAATGACATTTTATAATTAGTGATGGATTTAACCATAGGGTTAATATGTCAAAACCACACTGGACTCAATTCATTCTGAAAATCCTAATACTATCACCAACCCTTGCATAAAACAGTGTAACTCTAAGCCAAATATTTACTTTACATATATTGCGAAAATATGTGGTACAATTAGATAGAAAGAAATATACCATGGTTGTTTACTGGTTTAATTTGAAAATCATAGGAGAGATTTATTTCACTGCTGTCTAGTACTCAAGGTAAAGTCATATTCATTTTTATAAATCAAGGGATTGTGGTCAATTTGACTCTCAACACCCTCTATACCCATCTACTTTATTTATAATAGAACACTGTTTTTTATCTTACAGTTTTATGCAACTCTAACTTCAGTTTTAAATATCATTTGATAACTTCAATACAATAAATAACAAACACCCAGAAATCGTGTGTATGAACAATAAATATCAATAACTAATATGAGTTTAAACACTGAATATCTGTCAATCTAATGCAAATGCTTTGATAATTTATTAAATCATATATTAATCTAAAGTTTCGTCCATATAATTTAATGAAAATGTAAACTGTTCTTTTTTAGTTTCTTTGACAACTGCTTTGATAAATACATCAAGTTCATTTGTAAATTTTGTTTAAATCCTTTTAAATGCTTTGATTTTTCTAACTGAATCTTTAATTGCAAATTTTGTGAAGCTAGCGATTATCTGTCTACTGCAATATATCTTTTATATTATTATCAGCAAAGATGGATAGTGGCTAGCAGTGGAATTCAGGACGCGCGTTTCGTCCTGTTTTGGGACCCGTCAGCTGGACGTACCTGCATCTCAGAGTTGATGTTTACTCTGGGACTCGAACTCAATACCGTTCGCTTCAAACGCTATCGCGTTATCCACTTAGCTACTGAGTCCTGATAGCCAGTTGCTTGTGCAATGGGGTGAAGTTTAATTCACTTGGTATTGTTTTACTTAAATCTTCACATATGCCAATAAGAGACTGATCAATTTCAGTCCTAAAACATCAATGGGAAGATTCAAGTAAAACAATACCAAGTGAATTTTGTATTATTATTCTTCTTTCTACTTTCTGTAAATGATATTTATGAAAATGTCCATTAAAATATTAAGTTTATATCTTTGTATATTTTACATTATTCATTACTTGTATATTTGGACAATAACTTTTTAAGTCTAATAAACTTTTAAGAAATTTTTATTTCTTCGTTTATATTAGAAAATTCTAGACTAAATAATTTTGATGTACATTTGTCATATAGACATAAATTTTTTTATACATTGGTGTACTCTTGTATGTGTTTGTTTGCATATATCTGTGTACATATGTATTTACATATAAATTTAGATAATTTTTGGTAGCATTGTGTGTAATTACATACACCATATATTTGTTCTACAGGCGAGTAGATCGTTCTGGTCAGTTTTAATATTGTTTTATTGAATCTAAGTACTCTTTCGTGCTTATTCTAACTTCTTAAACGATTGTTGCTTGTGAGAATTGAGTTTTTTGTGACTCGATATAAAACATAAAATATACACTGTTTTACAGATGATTCATCAGATATTTTTTTAAGACATAGATAAGTAAATTTTTCATCAAATTTTGTGTTTAATCAACATAAAAATAATAGTCATTTGAAAATGTTATGTTTGCTGGAGAGTTTGTTATATGGGGCTAAGTATGCTTTGCTTAAACTTCAAAGAAAATAGATTGTCAGATAGCATCAAGTATGAAACTGGATTTTAATGGTATCTTGATATCATTGAATAGTTTGCATGTTTGTGGGGGAGTTCTAAAGCTTCCAGTCTGTATGCCTGGATTAAATAATGTTAGTCTTTTTGAGGCTTATGTTTGTATTGAGATCTTTTTTTCATATGTAATGTAACTTGGTCAGACTGACTGATTAAGTCATATGGGCAACACTGGTTGTCAAAAATATTTTTGAAAAGCATCATAAGTTATATTGTTGAGCATAAAAACACTTAGAAGAAACTTATTTGCAATTTTATTATCTGGTGAAAACAGTCTGAAATGACATGTTTAGATCTTTTTCTGTAGTTAGATTATAGAAAAATTACAGATAAATAAATATTCGATATAATTTTTCTGATAAAAGTATTTAGAGTATTCCCATTTCACTTGATACAAACAAAACCTTTTGATGGCTACCTGGGATTATGATTGAATTCTATAGAAGTTCTATATTTTTTTGAAAATAATTACATTTTATGTAGTTACATAATAGTTACATTTATTTCACAGAATAGTTATTCAACGTTGATTGTTTAAAGAAGTTTACTAGTACAAAAGGTTATCAGCTATATATAGATGTCTCATTTATCTGAGGAAAAAAATAATCGAATATAAGATATTGAAGTAACTTTAAATACTATGTGTTAGTCAAAATAAAACAACTTATTAATGACAAGAAAACGAATGGTCTTCATCGGCTAAAACTATTTCGTCGTACTTAAATTCTTTAAAAAATAATCAGAACACAACTTAAATTAATATCTCGTTTGCAATAAGATTTCAATAACAATGAGTTCACTTATTTGGAGTAACTTTAAACCTCACAATTGATTGATCACTGGGTGGTGATCAATGTCATGCTTGTCTAGTCCTTATTAGTGCAGATCGAATGCTATCGATCATGTTGCAATGTGGCCAACAGTCTAGGTGACTCGACACTGCGGGCACTATGTATTGAGATTTAGATGGTGGTTGGAGGTAGTCAACAGGAAACCCTGGACCCGGGTTTCGTGCTACTTGGCACTCGTCAGCAAGGTGTACCTGTAATCTTGAGGGAACTGATGCTCCCTCAAGATTACACTGCACTAATAAGGACTAGACAAGCATGAGATTGATCACCACCCAGTGATCAATCAATTGTGATTCCATCTCAGTCCTACAGGAGGTTAGTCACGGCTCGGATAGCTCAGTGGTAACGTTTCTGACTGTGAAGCTGGGTGACACGAGATCGAATCCGCCAGGGAGCATCAGTTCCCTCAAGATTACAGGTACACCTTGCTGACGAGTGCCAAGTAGAACGAAACCCGGGTTCAGGCTTTCCTGTTGACTACCTCCAACCACCATCTAAATCTTAACTTTAAACCTTTCAGTTTACTGACTATACTACTTATTTCGACAACTACATCGTTTAAAAAATAACCAAGAACCTACTAGTATGAATTGTGAAATCTTTGTATCTATTGTTTTTTGTACATTAGTTAAGTCACATTGTTGAATCTAACATAATATACCTTTACTGATGTAATAGATTAACTTCATCAAAGCTGTAAACATAAGCAAAGTTATGAAATCTAAATTGTTTGAATTACCATGATGTTGTGAGATGCACATGATACCTACCTTATTGTTCTCCATCATACTCAAATGTTGACCAAGAGTGAAATGATAATTATGTATCATGTGAATATGTGCACCTACATTATTTTATGTAAAATGTTGTTTTGATTAATTTTAAGTGCATTGTTCAGTTGTTTTCTCCTAGTCTATACCATATCATGCATCTCACGAAACTAATTGGATATAAGTATTATCATGTGTAGAGTTGTGCGTGTACACTGAGGAGTCTTAGACTAAAATAAAACAACTATTTGCTGTTACAGGTTTCTCATGGTTCTTCAGCTATTTTCTTTTCATGTCGAAAACTATCATAAAGCTACACAATTTTATGCGTAACACTTAAGTAGATAATATATTTTCATTAGTAGCTAGCGTCAAAATAGACCTTTAAAAGTTTCAATGTAAAGCTGTGATCTATGAAGTTGGCCGAATCGGAAGTAAGTCAGTAACCAATTAGACAAGAATTGGTGTTGATAACAAATTTAGTGAGACTGAAGTATGACTTGCTGTATTCCCATTGAATGACCTAACAGTCCTAGGTTTGTTTTGGCGTGTTGTCGTGCGTTTTTTCTCGTAAGTTTTCGTAAAATAATTCGATAAGCAGATATGCAAGTAAATTGTATTTTAATTCCCTGATTACAGTAAAGTGTAATTTTAAACTGAAAACTTAGAACAAAGAAGCTGGCTGGAATTTAATTTGTACGGTATAACGATCCTGTGACTATTTGTTAACAATTATCAAACTAAACGTATTATACTTAAGAATTGTAAATTTCAGTTTAGTGCTTATTGGAGTCATTGGGTTACCCATTACATGACCTAACAAATGCAATTTAACCTATAGTTAGTTAACAGATTCTTAGAGTATATTTCATCAAGTTGATTAGTGTCTGTGGTTAGCTGCCAAAATATCCAAAAACCAGAGTTCATTTTGATTAGTTCTTGTTTACACTTTCCAGCATCTAAGTACTCGTAATTTCCTGAAGATTGAACTTTGCATCAATGTACCATACAATTACAGACTACTCAGCTGACTTGTTCATACTACTAACTGGATATTAGTAATAATATTTAATAAACATTATTGCTTCATTAATAAACTTATATTTATTAATTAGTCCACTTATTTGCAATCAGTCTACATCTGATTTTATTTTAAATCTTGGGTGAATGCGTTGGTTAAAATTAACATTTGTTGTGTTGTGACTAGATTCCTAATGATTTGTTTGTATTTATGGATATATATACTTTCATTATTACGTATGTTTATCTTTTATTATCTTTTCTGTTCATAGTAACCTTTTATATGTATATCCACGAAGTGTTAGTCTTCCTCCTTCAAAACAAGCTTCTTCTCGAAATATTACTGTTCGTGTACAATTAATGTATAGTGACTCTACTGTAACTAAAGTACTACCGGTAAGTGATTTTTAAAAAATAATTTCTCTGAAATTTCTGCTTAACAAATCTAAGCATGCGACTGAAAGATACTTTTGTGTGAATCAACGAGTATCCGTGAATTTCAGATTAGTATCAAAATGAGGTGTTATAATTTTTAGACAGAATTTTTTCACTGTGTTGAATAAATACTTTGATTTTTCTCTTACTCTTCATTGTAGTGTACTTTGATTTATAAAACCGAAGTACATATATAACTTGATATTCATGAACGGTATTTTTAGAAAAGATTAGACTCTAATAGTCACTAATTTTACGCTTATGTAAGGAGATTAATAATATAATTATAGTCTTCGCTTTTATCCTCAATAGCACAGCTCTTGTATTTATGGAGTATTAGAATTGAGATGTAGTAAAATATATTATTCATTATAAGTACTTTGTAACCAAATACTTCAATAACTGCTTTCATTATTACAACTAAATTTCACGTAAATATTTAAAAGTTTATACTTCTTAAAATAGTTTTTTCCTCAAACAAGTCACGTAAATATATCATTGTTAGGGTACTAGATTGTTTAATTAACGCATGAAACATTCAAGAACATGGGTACAAATTCCAACTGTGTCACATTTGCCTTTGAGAGAAAAAGTTGACCTTGTAAAACCAACTAGATATCTTAGTGTACCGTATTATCTAATACTTATTACTGAAATCAACAATTAATCGTTTACAATATATATATCCAAGATTTTTATTTTTTGGAAAGTATTCGACAGTATTGTCAAGCATTGTTTTCTAATAATCCTTACTGAGTTTTGTTTTTAGTAGCTTGCAGTGAAACTCAAGATGAAATCAAAATCGAAATTTCTACCTTTGATAATGCTTGACTTCTTCAAATAAACTAGCCTGTCATAATGAACTTCATCTTTTCATCAGTATTTAAAATCTCTGTCTACACTATATATTGTCTCGGCAAAACCTCAAGTTTAGTAGATAACTAAGATTTTATAAAAAAAAGTCCCCGGTAAATTTTAACCAATGATTGCTTTTACTAATAAATGATTATGATAGAAGCTTAAGTTTCACATTTCTACACAAATATGTTGCCTCGCTAATAAAAAAATATTCATTTTTCTGGTATTAATCATGCTTTGGTGTTGTTCAGGTTTTGATTATCATATACATTATTTTTCTTTCTTACAACCAAATGGATTATTTCAATCTCGCTCAATTTAAATAAAAGCATGATATCACTAAAAAACTCAATAAAAGGTATACTACAATGTATATCGACTTGTACATTGTTAATTAGTTACATTACGTTCTTGATTGGATATTGTAAACTCTATGCCTACGTTCTCATCGACTAAAGTTCGAATGAAGAAATAGACACGTTTTACTGAAAGCTCTTTGATCTTCAAAAAGCTAAGCGCTTAGACGTAACAATTATAACATATGATTATGTTGCTTAAGTCGTCAGTCTAAGCAAAATGGAAAGATTCTTGTGTCGCTTTTTATTGGTGTTCCTGTTCAGAAAACAAATAATAGAAACCGTTTCCTGTAACTATCTTCAGGCTTATACAATTATCATATATACGTATAGGTGTTTATTTTTTTACTACACTTTATTTATTTATCCAGTTTTTTGTCTGATTTATTTTATCTCATAGGCTATATATGGCAAAAGTAATTCTCCTAGGTTTATAAGCGACGCGTTCACCACAGTTTTATATCATAACAGGTAAGTAACTAAATCATATTCTACTTTTCGCCACATATATGTTATTATCAAATAGAAGCTTAGAAGAAATAATCTCACAAGATAAAGATTTCTATTCTTGCTAATGTAGATGCATGTTACTTTCTTTGAAATTCTCAACACTGGTATCCAAGTAAACCCTGATGTGACCACAGCTATATATCAATGACAGTATGAGATTAAGCATAAGAAATGTACTGAATGAAAAGTACAAAATTTATCTTATTTAAACTTAACATTTTAATAAAGATGTAAAATAAATACGACTATATCACTGTAATCAATTTCAATCTATACCGCTTAATTTTTCTAAAAATAGTTAATGATTATCTCATAATTTGTTTCGAAATCCTGTCTAAATTTTCACCAGGCTACCTTACAATTCAGTCAAACATCTATATACTATAAGACATTTATGTACTAATCGGTGAATTGTACGTGTATATGTTATGATCATCTCCACGAGTTATCTAATTGTTACCATGGCGAACAAATATCCTGTTAGTTGTTATAATCTAACAGTTAACTGCCCCCGAATTCCATGGTACGGCCGAGAGTGGGGAGAGTCCGCTCTCCCCCTCGAAATGCTCTCACATGGCCACGCGTATATAGCCTCTGCCAGGAAGTCCTACTCATCGACTTCTCGTGGCGGGGATGTTGTTCACGAAATTGAGAGGACGGAAAGCAAATGTTCGGAGCTTTATTCGGGTCGGTGGATATGGAGGATCCATCTAGTAGAGTTGAGAAACCCTCATTCCCAACCAATGATGCATATGGACTCCAAGATCCTGAAGGAACAAATGGCGTATGAACCAATCGTTGATCACCGACTACCATGGGAATGCATCTCCTTACGATGCTCCACCGCCTCGGGGTTCAGACCTTCAGGTCGAAGGCTCCGGGTGCGGTCCCCTAAGAAGACTGACTGCTTCGGTTTGGGTACCCGGGCAGTATCCCAGCCCCCACATAGTGATATATATGGCGCACATATACTTGGTGCATCTTTGTACAAATATCTATGCGTTAAAATAAATAAATAAACAGACCATTAACTTAAATTCTTTTGATTAGTAAGATCATTTGGGTAAGACCAGAAATTGTGGACAACCTTTGAGCGACGCTAATATGACCTTGAGAATTTCCATCTACTTACTAAGGCTAAATGAGTGTTATAAACCAGTGTGAGGAATTAGAATGTACTACTAATGGATAGCATTAGGAATTAGGCTTAGGGTTTTCATCACAACCTAATATAAGCTAAAATGCCAAGACGCTACTTGGTCAAATGGATGAATGAATTTCGCCCTAAAATCCAAGAATTATTATCCCAGTTCTGATTGGTTCACCCATAAATTATAGTCTCGCCAACATTTGTTTAATAATTTACTCTGTCTTAACACAAAACACTTAATCTTGAGAAAAATTCAACTACGGTTTCGTCGCATGCCAAGTCAAATCAAGCTTTAAATGAAGTTCATGATAACGCCTTTCGTTGGGGAGAAAATAATATTTGACGGAATGAATTAAATTCAATATAAAAAAAGGTAAAGTTTCTGTTATGTTGCGCGGTTGTCCGAGTCTGCTTCTTCTGACTGGCCTAGATTATCGGTTTCATGTACAGTTGAATACATATAGTAATAGGCTAAACATACGAAACAAACTCTGTTTTTTTTTATCATGTCAAGGTAAACTTTATGGGTGTACCATTTTTTAACTTAATTACCACATGCTTAGTCAGGATACAAATAAGTTGCAACTTTACGAAAACCCGTTCACATTGTTTTGTGATTACTGGAAATTTATTAGCACAACAGTTATCATTTGATGCATTCCGTAATAGATTCCTACATATATTATGTGACTTTCTTGTTTGTTCGAATCATCAAAATCATAAAATAATAAATCTCAGTGCTCAATTTCATATTTTCTAGTTTCACGTAGCTACGTATTCACAGAACTTCTAGCCCTGCTTGTTTTTACCGTTTTGATTCGTCCATTTTAGTTACAGACTTAATTGTTTTATATTTATGTTTTTATTATCAAACTATTAGATCGCCAGAATTTTTCGATGAAATAAAAATTCAGTTACCCGGAAAATTGGAACAAACTCATTATCTGTTATTTACATTTTATCATGTAATTTGTCAAACAAAAAAACTTGAATCATCTGCGTCTTTAGAAACTGTAATTGGTTATTCTGTAAGTAATATTCATTTGTTTAAAACTATTCAATATGAAAGTTCATGACTAACTAGATATGCGTCAAAAGACAATAAAAATGAATTAGCACCAGATAGTTGTTTGTTTCTAGTTCGTGACTTTTTCATAGCACTCACGTAAAACCAAACCCAAGGTTCGATCTCGGCACTTCATTTGCTGAGGAGGACACCATACCTGTAATGTATTATGCCAAAATTCAATCATCTATGTTTCTAAAATGTATACTGTTGAATCCCAACTTATTGATCTGATAGTAATAGCCTCATCGCTAGACATGATTATTAGATCGTCGTTACACACGTTTAGCAGTTATAAACTAGGAATAAAACAGTTGTTTAGTGATCTCTGCTTCACACTGATCCTCCGACTAATGCCGGTTTGTAGTAAAACCTAAAATCTGAACCATATAGATACTTTTACTGTTGGCTCATATAACTTGTAGATTATTCAAGAAATACCAGTCAACGTACTTATTCTCAAATTCACAAATGTGTTTCATCTATTCTGTATTATGTTACCTGAAAGGCCGTTTAGCTGTAGATTCATGGTAAACTTGACTGTATAACCAACCATGTTCTATTGTTTTATTTTAATTTAGTGGCTACCTTTATTAGAACAAGGATGTTTAAAAGATCGTGATCTGAATTTGTTAGTCAGTGTAGAAAAACCATCCCCAGCTTTGGCAATGATTAAGCCGGACATAAAATCGATCTCAGAAAAGGTAATCATGTATATTAATTTTTTACTTTGTTGTGCTTGCAGGAACAATCAATGCATTTTTCAGTAGACTGCGTGTCATGCTCTTGTTACTTATCTGAACAGCAATATAAGTAATATAGTTTTAACATGACAAGATATCGTAGTTTGAATCACGAACTGATCTTAACTTGATCAACATTAAGAGCTTTTTCATCCTGGTTCATAAGTTTTCATCTGAGTGGTTCCACGACCCTATCGCAAAGCCTCAAACCAAAGACCTTCAGTCTCAGCTGTCAAGAACCTAAGCGTTCGCGTTTCAAATCAAATGTCTCAGGTTAGTTCACTGTAGTGGGGTTGGGGATGCGCTTTGATAAAGAGTCCCGTAAGAGGATTAAACATCGCAGTAAATTCTGGTTTAAAATGGTCGTCTGTCTAGCATCAGTTTGTAATTTAAAGCCTGAAAATTCTAGTCTTTACCCATGTATTTTGATATTAGAGCAATCACCAATTTGTAAACGTTTTTTCCATAATCGAAAGGCCAGTAAAAACATAGAAGCACTGAACATTTGCTATTTCTCTGGTCTCAGCTTCTCAACAATTTTCATCCAAATTTTTATAAACTTTGTGTTTAGTCAAATTATAGAACTCTTATAAACGTAAGGAACTGCAACTTCATTGTAAGAAACAACTGGTAAACGTCTTGAAAGACTTATTCATACGATACAGCTTTGGTGGATGTAGTCGACTTTTATATTTATACTATGGCGATATTTTATCAGTAGATTTACATAGTTATATATATGTAACATTTATTAAACTTTATTTAATCACCGAATTTCATAGAATATCATTTTTGTAACATTTTAGTAAAATCCAATAGGTACTATGTTCTGATCCATATCAAAAACCATTTCACAAAACTATATATCTCCGTAACATCTTGATCGGTTTAATTTATAATTAGGCGAGTGTGCTTATATGTACTGAATTTTAATACAAAGCTTTGTTAGTCAACAACATATGGCATTTTCAAATCAGATTGAAAGGATAAACATTTTAGTAAATTTGGAAAATTCCCATATTGTGATTTAGTAAACATATAGTGTAAACTGTTTACATTACTTCGTTTTTTCTTCCTCTAAAACACAAAATGTTAATTTTAAACTTTTCCACATCAATGAATAGTCTTATCGTATTGCGCTTGGAGTAATTGAATAATTTTATTATCTTTGGAGTTTTATCAGCCCTGGTAATTTGTTAGCCATTAAGTGACGCACTCTTATCATCGATGTAAAAACCATGCTTTACTTTCCTCATCTACATGTTGAAAAAAATAATTCATTTAGAATAGGAAAAAGATTCTGAAACAATGAAAAACAGTCAAATAAGCTTTCAATTGTTTCGTCATTCTTCTAAATACATTAAGCCTTGTGTTTTTTTATGTACTGCCAATTATATTGATTTCATAGAACTTGTTAAAAAGTATAATTGTTGGTTTGCGAGTTCTTCTTACTCCAATTGATTTTACATCCCGAGTTAACTTCGTATAATTTATAAACTTATCCAGTTGTGTAACTAGATTCATATAACGATGTGATGCAAATAGCTGAATACGAAATATTTTAGGAAATGGATATATTTAATACATAATGACATGGCAGCTCACATGCATAGAGTAAAGGATTTGTAAAACGTAAGAATCGTATACTGCAGCGAACTGACTGACGTAATGCTCAGTGATGTAGTATGTGTATTTGACTTGATAGACAAATCAATGTAGAAATTATTATCTTATTTTTGTATACCTAGGTATTATAGTGTTATACAGACGCTCAGGCAGTCACGTGTTTATAAAAGTGGTAAACTAGTGCAAACATATACAAGCTGCGTGTTCTGCTACCATTACAAGACTTTGTTGTCACACCTATTGTTGTGAACATAGTTGAATAAAAGTATAAACTAATGAAAGATTTGGAACCAACTATGGACTTCCACGAAACTCAGGTCTAGACTTCAAGCTCCTAACCTCTAACCATTGGAAATCACTGGATCTTAATTCTACTTCACCTAAATTTATTTTTAGCTATCGTGTGAATTAAAGGTTTTTAACCCCCTATATTTACTGAAATTTAATCCAAAAGTGACAGAATACTTAATAACTGAAATATAAGTTTGTACAGGACACATTCTAGCCTGTTTTAATCATTTAGTACAAAGAGCATTCAGCGAGTTCATTGTTTTCTAACTATTTAACCTATTTCATAGGAATGCATATATATATTATGTTACACTTTTCAATGAAATTGAAACTTACACTCCATACTCTTTTGATCACCGTTTTATTTGTCCCTTAGTTTTGTATGGATGCTTGCAAATGGGTTGATGCTCATCGTGAACTATTCAGTGTTTCTACAACTGTTGTTTCTAGCGTTTACATGCAAGATGCTTCATTAGAATGTCTTTTATCGGCTTGTCATATAAATCGAATCAATTCTACCATTGAAAGTTTTGCTAATCGATCTGCTGTTCGGTAACCTATTCACCTTTGATTATAATTAATAAAAAATTTAATGATATTTTTGTAATATCTCAACGGTTGGAAAATTAAATTTCCAATGTTTCACAACTTAGTATAAGCCGCTTCTTCAGAGTAATTTGATATACTTGATCGCAACTATTGTTATTTGTATTAGTCTAAAGTAAAAAGTACTTATTTTTCCAAAGATCACTGTTCTTTTTCTTGGCTTCACCGATCGCACAGCTAATCTGAGTGTTATTATAGAGTTAGTCCCCCAGCTGACCGTGATCCTCCCGGGAGCGCATTTTTTAAACATATTTATTCAAACATACTTTATTCTACTTCAATGTAATAATAATACTGATCCTAATAAACAATCAGTATGACTTATGTACAGTTTAATATAGAAACATGTTTATATTTCTTAAATTCTATTATAGATCGTTTTGTATTTTAGTTTAAAACGAATGCATTTCTGTGACTTTGGATAAGTATTAACAGTAGGTATCAGAAATACTACCATCAATAATAAAGCGGCGTAGAATCATTGTCTTACTTTTAAGCTTTTTCATGACGTACTGTGTCTTCTCTACTGTTAAAATTCTTTGTGCATGTCAAAGTAATCAGTCAGTCAGTCAGTAACAACGTAGAACTTCGTACGTACGTACATCAGTTCGAGTTGCCATACCACACTAGCACAGAGATGCAGTTGTCGATTCAAATCCCGTAGTGGTAGATGTAAGAGTATAAGCAGTAATCGGATAGATTAGGGTTTGAAGATGTTATTTAAAGGTCAAAGTAATCAGTTCATTCATTTATTTAAAGTTTCTTATTTTATGAATACTACTGTCTTCTTTATATTCAACTAACCCAACTAATCGTGGTTGCAAATTCAGAATAGAAATTTTTAAAACATCTACACAGATAGGTTATGATTTAACATATATTCGTAAACACCCATGAGTTATTTAGCTCATTAAAGAAAATGTTTATGATTAATCACATACGTACAAAGGCGAAATTATTTCAAGTGATCAGAAACTAATCTCTATCAGAATATCTCAGTGATAAAATCTCACACTCCGAAGGTAAGTGACGTGGGAACATTAGTCCCCTCACTATCTCAGTTACTAGCACAAAGCCTAGATTCATGGTCTCCTCCCAACTACCTTCAGCCACCAAACATCTTGAGAAACAGCACGCTATGTTGAGTCACCCGAACTAGTGGTCTTTATCCCGACCAGATCAATAGAATTCCAGGATCTTTGAAGGACTAATATGGCATTAGACCCTTCTCATAAATTTAACGTATTACTCCCTTATTAAGTATAACTAAATTTCTATGTAGAATTAATTTGCTTACACAATCATTTTTCATGGTTAAAGTGAATTGTCTTTTTCTCTACAATACTTAACATTTCAGTCAACTATTCTCATATATTCATAAAACAAGTCTTCATCAGTTAACTGCATTTTTCGTACCACTCCTCGATGGCTTTCTTCGATTGTTATTTAATTGCATAATAAGTACGATTTCAATCAAAATGAATGGTACCAAATCGAATAATAATGATAGTAGTATGGAGATGAATAGACCTAGTCTAATCGCGTTAGAACTGCTCATTGTATTTTTGAATCGTATTACACGAAGTTTTCCTCATTTAAATGATAGACATGGACGAAACCAACTTCTAGTTTCATATTTAACTGGCCCACACTTTTTAACTATTGAAACAGGTTAGTTAATTGGGTAAATATCATGTTAAGTTTGTGAAATAATAAGTAATTAAAGTAATACTTACATATTTTTGTTTGTTGAAGATGGTCAATCTAATCAATGTTACAGGATTTCTATAGTTAAATTAAATATTGGTCATTTCACTTACAATTAATGAAGAAAGCATAAATAAATCGCTTTTTAAAACATGTTTTTGAGAATAGAATAACCAAAAGTTTAGTTTACTAACTAATATACATTCTCCTACATGTTCTCTGAGTCATTATACTGAAGATACTACACAGTTTAATATTGAATTATTATAATTTCTAAAAATGATAATCATTTGGAAACCACTAATGAAATATTTCATTAAAACTAGTTTTATTTAGTTTTCCCTTGTGTTCTTTTTTTAGTTTTAGGTCATTACTTCTCTGGACATCCGTTATTTGGAGTACCGATAGTTTCGGATTTGGTAAATCCTGAACAGATCGATAAAAGCCTTTTAGCTAATGTATATCTTATTTTTTGTCCTTAATATATATATATATATATATAAATTAGTAATTTTAACTATTTGTCATTATCCTCGTAAAACAAAGGAAAGGTTAACGATACCTTAAAATCAATAATCTATATTAATGAATTCAGTGATGCAAATCTTGATTACACAATAAAAACAAAACACTTGTTTGCCGATCAAAAACTAGTCACTTTTCCATGGCGATAATATTTTTCGTTTTTTTTAAGGACAAAAAACAACAGTTCACTAGGCTTCTATTTTTCGCTTTCCAGTTAAACTCTGTGTAAATCTTTAGAATTATTGGTATCGTATTCATATCAGCTTTCTAATGACTTGTATAATGTATCACTCCTCACAGAGATTTAAGCAGTACTTGCCAAAGATCACTAGCTTAACATTTTCGTTTATTAAGAAATGCGAAAAATTCACGTTTACGATTCCCTGAAAAAAATGTTTTTATTGGTAATCCGCTGTAGAAATTCAATGATCTGTTCTGATCAATCTTCTGTTTCTTGCGATGCTTCAACTTAAGTGTGTATATAAAAACTAATTAAATGAAGTTGTCTAGGACTTTTATTAGCATTTCACTGAAGCATTAATCCATTGCAGTTTGTGATATGCATATTAACAGATGAAGGTATAATTTGCAATATATATTCATTCAGTTACTTGGGAAAATTATTGTCTAATGGGATATTTTCCAAATAATCAATAACACTCAAACTGACTGTAATTTTATTGATTAATCCCTAACTAAACCATATATCTATCATAGACATTTTAGTTGTAATTCATAGATCAACGATAATTTTTTTGATTGATACATTTTTTGCATTGAATTTTAATCTACGTGTCTGTAAAAATGTAAATTTTAAGAATTTAAGTAGTAATAGAGTCAAAAATGCCATTAATGAGATTTAGAGCTCAGTTGGATGTTTTTATCAGTGTTCTATTGTTTGGCATTGTGACACTCTAGTCATTTTACTAACAATACATATTGGCTTTAGATTTTATTCATATCTTTGTACAGGAAATATCGATCAGTCACATGTTCAGTGAACAATTGAAAGTAAAATCTTGTACGAATGACATAGCACATAATAACAATCAATCACCAAGTCATCAGAACGGGTTGACTTAGCCCTCCATTAATAATTATCAAAATTTTCACTTAATTTGGGACCCTATTATTCTCTACGAAATGATAATGAAAGTTTCTTCAACTGAACCATTTTAACCCAAATAACGTATCACTAAAATTCCTGTTTTGTTAGATGTTCGGTAACAATAGTAGTATTAGTGATTTTAAATATTTTAAGGTAGAAATATATGTATGTGAAAATGATGTAAAAATCTCAGATTATTATTGTTACTGCTTTTACTCTTTTTTTCAACGTTGTTTTATACTCCAGTTCCCGGATGATTGACAGCATTTTAACAACTGAAATATTCTTCATTTTTTATTTTTCTCATTAAACCTTTTCTACGGAAATTAACACCTATATTTTATAGATGATCTTTACTATAACATTGTATACACTTCAAATATTGTGCTTTAAACTTTACAGTAATTTAATCTCATATATATGTTAATCAACTTATGATTGATTTTTTCTTTGTAGGCCTCTTTTCTGAATAAAAGGGATTAGAACTTACACCTTAATGACATTGTTTCCTGTAGCTTAGTGTAAAAATCATTTGGGACTATGTAAACTGATCTCTGAATATTTTTAATAGCAATAACTATTTCAGAAAAATATATTTATTTAAGATAATGAATATATCCTTCTGTTTCAAAGAATATAAAGTGATTAGTAATTCATACAATCTAAATGTCTCTCAGAATCAATATACCACTGACTGGTTATTCTACATTAGGACTTGAAAGTGAACTATGTAAAGTGTAAATGGTTTAACACTTTTACTGACTTACTTCTTTCATACTTTATAAGTTGACTCTTCAGGAATTGTCTAAAATGAAGGTTGACCGATGAAATTTACTGATTTCTTATGAATTTATCATGTAGCTGAGTTGCACAACACATTTGCACGACTATCTGAAGTAGTGTAGTGAACGAACGCTTAGTGGGCAACGTCAATTCATTATTTTATGCAAAATTACACAGCACTCTGGTAAAATGCGAAAATCATATATTGAATACATTATTTACACATTTTCCTTCGATTGTCCTTTACATACTTCATGATTCTTCCAATTCTGTATTTATTTTTATTGCTCTCTGTCTCCCTTCCTGTTCTCTTCAATTTAATCTTATGCTTGCAGGCGTTCCACTTCAGATTGCTCGTAAATACTACTTATATCTGTCAGCGTAAGTAGTATACACCAGAGAAGTAGTAGTAGTAGCGGTCCATTAGTAGACCGAATATTGAACTGTCATTTCGTTCTTATTAAAAAGAGAATTGACCCATAGGTCAGCCATTCATATTCTGATAATTCAAAAGACTAAATGATAAAACAACAGTATGACAAATATTTAATACTACCAAGATTAAACCATTTAAACATAACATTTCTGACTTGAATCATCAACTAGAAGTTTTATTTTTCACATCTATTTGTTCATGACTGTTATTAATAAATTTCTCAGTTTTAAATAAATTTAATTATTTTTTTTCATTTTGTTAACAGATCATTTTAACTGAACTTATAAAAATCTATCTATTCAGAACTAAACTCAATGATTCTCAAAGTAGTCAAACTTTTTTCCCTTCATTATGGTTTCTTTTGGAATTATTTGTAAGTCATATTGAATGTTTTTTTTTCATTAGTTAATCGGTTAAGGTAACCATGTCGAATCAAATAGAATTTATTGGATTATTTTTCTTTTGACTTTTCATGAATTAGGGTTGTAAAAATTCATTTTTGTTTTAGAATTTTCTCAAAATAATTTTGTATAATAAAATTCTATTTTTTGAAATTCAAATAATAATCGTAATATTGGCAGCGATACATCTTGTGCAAACTATAAGTAACTAGGTTTGCTCATTTTGTTATATATCTAACTGCATCTAAAACGATGTAAAAACATTTCACATTTTTATTTCATTAAGTTGTTTAAATTACTATTCATTGTAACTCAGTTATCTGCTTGAAAACGTAATTTTTTAACAAACATTGGTTATAAAAAAATTAACCTATCTTTGTCCACTGTGTATCTTTTTTTACTCATTAGAAGAGTTCATTGAGGTGGTTGTAAGATCAGATCAGGCCCCCAAATGCCCTGGTATGGCCGAGAGTGGGGTGGGCCCGCCCTCCCACTCGAAATGCTCTCACACGGCCACGCGTACACAGTCTCTACCAGGGAAGTCCTACTCACTGCCTTCTCGTGGCCGGGGTGTTGTTTACGAAAATGAGAAGACGAAAAGCGAATGTCCGGCGCTTTAACCGGATCCCAAACCAATGGTGCACATGGGCTTCAGTATCCTGCGGGAACAAATGGCGTATGAACCAATTTTTGGCCACCGGCTACCATGGGACTTCATCTCCTTACGATGCTCCACTGCCTTGTGGATTAGACCTTTAGGTCAAAGGCTCGGGGTGTGGCCCCCTAAGAAAACCATCTGCTTCGGTCTGGGCTTCCGGCAATATCAGCCCACACACACACAAATATGGCGTGGCGCATATATATTTGGTACCATCTTGTACCAATATTTATGTGTTCAAATAAAATAAAATAAAACTTTAAGATCAAGTATGCATCAATAAATTGTCACAAAGATGTTCGTGAAGCTGTCTTAGCATTGCGCATTTGTTATTTTTCTGCATCTCTATGATTGATATAAAGCTTGTTAATCTAGTTATAAATTCCCTTATTCATTACACAGACATACTAATTAGAGTGGATTTATGTTGTAAAACGTTCCCTATTGTCATTGTACATGTCAGCTGGACTATATAACAGTTCACTAATATATCTTAGATTAGTGCATAATAGCGTCTATTGTCGATATTTCTTTCATTTGTTATCAGACAGTAGCGGTATCTCAAATCACGTTAACTAAAGTTCTTAAAACCACTTTTATTGAACAATGATTTAGTTTTTTAATCCTTTGAGTTTTAAGCATTAGATCTTTAGTCGATTAGCCACATGTCTATAATTTGTTTTACCTTTTTTGGTTTGAATTATCAAGTAGTATCCTCGTCTTGCACCTGGTACGTTTTGTTCTTAGTCTCATGTACTTGTATTCTGTTCTTAAGTTATATATTAGAATTCGACTAATGATGTTAGATAATAATCACACTGTATCTTGCAATTAGACTTGGAAAAAGTCATCGTTGTATTTAAATTCAGTAACTCCAAAGTAAAACGCTTTAAAGGTTATAACTTAACCTTACCAAGAAATCTTAAACTATAACAAAACAAATATTTTATAATTTCTCTATCTGCAAAATTTACCCACTTCGCTGTTTCACAATGAGGCTAAACCTAAATCAGTTAAATGTCCACAAACTATTATATTAACAATTAGTTGTACCATTGATTTAATATCTTGATAACTAGTTCAGTTGAATTACAAATCTCAACCAACAACTAACGTTTTCTTCAAAAAATTCATTTCAATTATGGAATGCTGTGTTTGATTCCCGATTGGGTGATTATTACACACTTGTTTTCGATTTATTTTGTCTTTACATGTGTGTTCTTCTCCTCGTTCGAATTGATTAAAAGAAGCGGTAAATATAAATGTAAGTGTTTGGATGTATAGTTTACTAGTGTATAGTATTCTGTTTCAGGATGCTTTCCATCTGAATAGAGTTGATCGATAAAATGAAAAATACAATTAGGATATAGTGTAAATTATTTTTCACCTATGCTGTTAGTTCATATACGCAATCTATGATACAAACACTTCGATGATAAAGCTATAAATTAATTTATTTAAAAACTTTTGATGACCTCTGGAAAAGGAATGGTTGACCTTGTAAAACCTACTATGTCCTTAAAAGTATATTCCCTAATCTACCAAATTGATTTGTTTTTCTATGAGGTGTCAATTTTCTCAGTCAAGTAGATATATGAAAAAGCTTCTGAATAATGTAATTTATATTTTCTATACTTTATTTTTATGTAAAATAAACATTACTTATTATCTGTTAATTTCAGATTCATTTATTAGCACAAGATTGGCACTTGACAATAAAAGCTAATGAACCGAACATCATTTTACCACTATATGAAAACCCTTGTTTTTTGGAAGATTTAAGTTCATTTAATACATGCCTAACAGAATATATGATTCGATATGTTTGTAGTCAATATACTAAAATTTCGGATGGTAAGTTTAATAATATACTATCACTATGAATTCTCTTAAATATTCTGTAGAGTGGTCTATATGAAGATGTTTAATCTCATTTAAAAACTATTTGATAAATATGCGGTGTTTTGAAAATGATTTTAACTAACAAACATCGTTTTAGACATCACATTGTTATTTATTTAGCCGTTTATTTATAATAGACGATACTTACCATCCATTTGATATCGTTATCTAAGGGTAGACTGAGGTTAATTTATAGAATTGGAAAAGCATCACCTTGTGTTAATATTAGTATACAAGATACCATTTCTAACGCTGATCATTATAAAATCACAATTATTGTCATGACATCTTTACTAAAATGGTCAAGGACTAAAGGGACGTCGGTGGTTCAGAGTTAGAATGCTCGCCTGCCATGCGGGCAGTCTGGGTTTGATTCCCGGCTGGCGCACACCGCTTACCCTCAAATGTCTTGGTCGGCAAAGAGTGAGGATAGTCCTCTCTCCCTCTCAAAATGCCCTCATATGGCCACGAAAAATACAACCACTGCCACTGAAGTTCTATTCACTACCTCCTGGCAGTGTGCATGTTGTTGACGAAATTGAGAGAACGAAAAGCGAATATCCGGCGCTTTCCCGGGTCGGTGGATACGAAGGATCCACCTAGGGGAGTTAGGAAATCCTGATTCAAAATCAATCGTGCACATAGGCTTCAGTATCCTAAGGAAGCAAATGACGCATAGACCTATTGTTGGTCGCCGACTATCATGGGACTGCACCTTCTAACATTGCTCCACTGCCTTGTGGATTAGGTCAAAGGCTCGGGATGTGGCTCCCTAATAAAACCATCTACTTCGGTTTGAACACCCGGGCAATATCTTAGTCCTCACACAAATCGAATGATTTATGTGGCGCATATCTATATCATGCCTCCTTTTACCAATTTTTATATATGTAAATAAATAAATAACAAAGACTATGAAAATACAATGATTTATATGGTAGTGAGCAATGGAATCTAAAGTTCACATTTCATTCTATTGATTCTGCTTTTTCATTCTTATTTAATGATTAAGTAGTTTAACATTCCTATTTTTATTGCGGCACACTTTGATTTTGCAACATGGCTAAAAGTCCTTAAAGTGTTTATTTATTATAAGTAACAAATTAACGTTTATTCCATTAAATTAATTGTATTTCATAAAATATATTTCAACAGTAGTTGTAATCAATGTATTGAAATTAAATTTTTAACCTAGATGGTTCTACTGTTTGATCACTTTCCTTCCGTTTTGTTTGTTTGAATGAACACAAATTTCTAATAAGCTAAGTAAGATGCCTGCAGTAATGTTCTGATGGTATTCATGATTATGCAGAAAAGGAATATTAACAAACGGATTAGACATTAGTTTCATTAGTTTGGAATTTACATATTTGTATAGTTGTTTTAAGCTTTGGTCATTTCTATTTCCTTTAATTTCATGCCATATTTGTTAGTAACGAAGCAATGGCTTAGTGTTCAAAGTACTCTACTTTTAACCATTAAATTACAAGCCGAAACTCCATTCAACTTAACTCGGTTTAGGCAAATCGGTATTATCATTACTTCTCAGGCAACAGAATATGTTACTTCATGGTCAATTACATAAACTAAGACCTAATACACAAATTTTTGAATTGTTAACAAATTCTATTTCTTTTTACCATTTTATTTTTGTTTTAGCAGATTCAACTCAGTGGGAATCGCATCGACTAAACAATCAAATATTCTCATTTTTCCTTTACGATCTTTTCTCATTTCTACCTATCGAGTATATTTTTTCTGAAATAAAAAATTATTGGAATAAAGTGAGTGGGTTTGGAATTCATCTGAAGTTTATTGATAACTGATTAAAAATTTCTGTGTTTGGTAACAAATTATGATTGTTATTGCCTTAAACTAAGCAAATAGAATTTTCTACAATTTATGCACTTTTCAGTTCACACTTGAAGTGGATTGAAAATAATCCAAAGCACAATAATAATAGTACTAATAATAATAATAACAATAATAATAATAATATGTGTACATGTGAATTGTAAATTATGGTAGGGTTGAAACAGTTGTAGTCCATGTTAGCAATTTGTTGTGTTGTTGAAAGGTTCAAAATTTCACAAATTTTATTTTCTGTTGCTATTCTTATTTGAATGTTGTCAGAACAACTTTCAGATGTGTAGGTGCTTTATTTAAACTGTTATCAGATTATTAGAAGTATGTGAAGAATTCTGTAATTTAATATTGATCATGTGATGAAAGCGTCACTGAGAACACATGTCTCTCCATCTCATTAAGTTACTTTCGTTGTCATAATTTACTACTATCTACTTGTCTTTCCATCTTCTTAACGTCGTACAATATCAAATCTTGCACTCTTATCAATCATTTGTGTTCATATATCATAGGTTTATGTTGCAAAGTGTAATACTTACTTATCTCCCCTAATTGTTTTTCCCAAGTTAGTGTCATCCTTCTTGTAATGATAGGTAACAAGGTCACCAAGAACCAGAACCTTCGGTCTCGCGTACGAAATCGTCGGTGAGCACTGTTGAGGAGTTCCGTACTATGACAAAACGGCCGTTCTGTGCTTACAGGTTTTCAATGGTGGTCTAGCATTGATCGATTCATGATATAAATCGAAACTCAACAATCTCCACAACCCTATACTAATAATGTGTATTTGCCTTTATCTTTATCACCAATACAGATTGATCAACTACACTCGGATGCAGAATTAAATCAAATTTCAAGTGATAAATTATTAAATTATTTCAAATTAGATTTATTACAAATAATTTGTTCACATAAAGCATTTTACCTGTTGAATGATTGTAATAATGACAATGTTAATTTCAATAATTTATTACCAGTGAATTGTGAACGATTACTTCGAAGTTATAAGCAATTATCCTTATGCAAAAATAATCATCAAACAAAGCCTTATATAAAGTCAAATTATATTCCATTAGCTACTATTGAACCAGAATTCTATGGAACTGAAGATAATCATCATCATTGTCACACTGATGATTATCATGCAAAAAGTTTAAACATAAATAATGTGAATGTCTTCAATAGACATTTTCTTATTTCACTAGTTATTTGTGAATTGGTCACAGCTTTAAGATCTGAGTAAGTTACAGTTCGACAAGTTTTCGTTTTTCTTATTGTTATTTTAAAAAATTTTCACCTAAACCTTTCTGTATTGAATAATTGGAATTTGCTCATAAAAATCTATTTGTGGCTTTATTCACTTTAAATAATCACTTGAGAAATATCAGAATGAATAAGGGATCAATAGTTTTCATTCACTTGATTCTTGTAAGCCTGAAATCAGAAAATGTACTTAGATAAAAAAACTACAGTCCAATGTATAATGAGGTATCAGATAGAAAAATAACATTTCTACATTAATATCTTGGAAACTATTCTGATATTTTAGCATAGAAGGTTTGTTCTGTTTACATTTCACATCACTGACCAAAGTCAGCTTAAGAATCAAGGGACACTGTTTAGGAGTTTCGTTCTAGTGTAGGGCGCTTCAAAAGTGTACTTAATGAACTATTGGTATAGTGTATGGTGAATTGTTTGCATTTAGAAATGTTGATAATTAGGCCTCACTGTATTGGCCTAACGTTAACATGTTCACATCTAAGCCCAAAGTATTTTGGTTCAATCCCTGGTGTGGTCATTAGTGTTCATTTATCAGGAGTCCCGTATTAGGATTAAACAGCCGTTCATAGCATCTCGATTTCTAATGGATGTCTGGATAAATTCAGTCAGCGATATAAAGTACCGGTATTTTTTTGATACTCAATTGTTGATTATATTAGTTTCCATCAACCGTATATCATGAAAATTTTATAAATCAAGAAAATAAACTCATCAGGAAAATGCGAAATATTCCATAGACTCATTTAGTTAGATCAGTTTCATCTTATACTAATTATCTACTAAACGTGAATATGTTGGGCGCTAAACTTGCTAAATCTTTCCTAGTCTAACTACCGTTTAAAAGCGTAAACGAATAGAATATTATCATCATTGGTGTATTTTATTGAAAAAACATTATTAAAACAGTTACGTGTCCAAAATTTTCATTTCTACTTTTATATTAGTAATTTTGTTCTTCACAACTCAAAGTAATAAATGAATAACGAGTAGTATATTCATATCTATACCATCTATAAATGACTGTATTCAAATAAGTTTTTCATCTTGATATTATTTGTTGATATGCTAGTGAATTTATTTCATTCCTCATAATTTTGATGGTCTTAGTTTCATTATCCTGGAATATTGGGAACTTTATTTTCAATTTCCTTTTACTCCTTCAATTCTATTATGGTAATCAAAATAATTTATTAAATCGCTTAATTAAAAAAACGTATTCAAATTATTGTAAAGTAGGACTAGTTATATTTTATCAACCTATGAAGTTTATATCTCAAGCATTAGGTAAATATTTAACTTTGAACTTGTAAATTAACTGACTATTTAGATTCCTCTCTTATGTTTTCCCTTTTAACAGGGACTCTGACCTGCAAAGACGTGGAGTTGATGTTCTTTGGAATATTCTATTAAATAATGAATTGGATTTAGAAAAAGAGACATCAGAAAAAGATTCTTCATCTCAATCGATTTCTAACCTATCTCAACTCACTTACTTTTATTCCTCAATACTTAATATTACGTGTGATTCTTTGCCATGTCTTGTTAAAACATGGCATTTAAACCAACTTCGATTAAATCGTTCTGCTGAGACTGAATTTCTCAAACCTAAACAACAATTTACATATGCTACAACAGCAGATAAAGTGGTTCCTAATTCATCGAATGATTCTTGTTCAACAGTTCGAGCTTCCGGAAGAATGAGACGGGTATGTTTATTGATTGATTATCTTGCTCGTTCGAGTATTTTCTATGTGTAATTCTAATTCCATTTTCAACCCACTTCCTAATTATATCACTCAGTGTTCAGATAGTCTTTTGTTATTTTCATTACTACCTTACACGTTTTCAGATTATGATTCCTATTATCCAAAGGCATGAATTTATGTATCACTTGCATATCGTCTACAATTTCGTTCTTTTATATATTGCCTCTTACATTTTGTTTGTCCTCTCAGGATATTCGTACACATTTCATGATAGTCATAACGTTCAATTAATATAACTTCCCCACACAATCATCTTAATTACCGTTACTCTTTACAATTAGAAAGTATTTTATGATAAAGTGTTCTCTGAGCTGGTAAATAAATACCTCAGAAATCGAACACCTCTAAATCTCTTGTGATGTTTAAGTTTTTACCATGTGAATGGAAAGCAGAATCATTCTAATACACTCTATTTAGTAACTGAACAATTTTGGATATAGTTTTTCAGAGTACACATTTATCGATAAATTAGTGACGATTTAAGTAGAAGTAAAATCTTAATCGTTAATACTTTTCCATGATTCAAGCTTCTTTTTAAATTCAGTCTTGAATTTTGTATCCTTTTTCAGAAACTAAACAACATTCATCGCCTCTCTGATGGTGTAAAAAATATAAGGAAATAATTCAGTACTTAGTACTATATTTTAGTTTTGTCTAGCAAGTCATTTTAAGTTTATAAATGTAAATTTGTCTTGAAAAAATCTATATTTTAGTAGCTAATGGAGTAATATTTAACTCAAGCTGCGTTTCTACTCAGTTCCTCCTACTATATTTTTTCATACAACACTTTACTACTCGTAAGTAGCTAACTTTCTAAGCCGAAAAACCACAAATCATCAGTTTGCAATCATTTTTACTCAAAGATTAATTTCACACAATTCCCGATTCAACTTCAAGTCCATGTATGACGCTTGTTAATAGTATTATTTGTTATGTTTATTGTCTGGAGATTCTTTCAACAAACTACTGTCAAATGATTAAATTTCTGATGAATATTCTACCAAATAAGTATGATTGACATGTCAAAACGCACTTCTAAATGAATCATTGTTTTCGAAACTCAATGTGTGACATTCGTTTATTATGGTCACTTTATTATGTAGCATATTTATCACTTAGTTTTAACCCGCACTAATAACTTGTTTATGAATTGAACCATGGCTTTCTTTGAGAGGATCAGTGATGGTTGACTGAATATAAAAGATAATTCATTGAACTTATTTGTTGATAATAACTTTGGTTGTTGCTGATTTTAAATTCCAAAGTCGTGCCTCTTATTACTCTGTAAAAGTTGTCAACTTGTCTACTCAAGAGGTTATAAAGACTATGTACGGTTACGCTTGGATGCACTTTGACAAATACTATTGACCATATTTCTGCCACGCATTTCTTCAATATTTATTAATAAATTACAATTAAACCGTCCTTTCATTCATACTAAAATATTCTTTCGTAATCTTATCATGAATAAACTTTTAGATAAGGCGATATGCAAAACCTACTAAATTCTTGGAATCTGTATCGGTCGGGAACTTGAATACTAAAGAACCTGAAAAACCTCGTTCTCCACTACCTAATGAAGATTCAGATGTGAACCTTATATTGAATACCCAATTGGATTCTACTAAACCTATGAAATATATTACAATGAAACGATTATTGTTAATTAATGTTTGGATCCTTAAATATATTCCCGATTCACTTTATCATGAATGGCTTCAACAAGCTAGCACTAAAGAGCGGAATCAGCTTTTGTTATTGATTTTCTTAATCGTAGATGTTTTCGAAACTCACGTATGATAAAACAGTATATATTTCAGTGATTTTTTGTTAATGTCTTCTTATTAGTAGTTTTGTATACATTTATTTTAAGTCCATTAATACGATATGGTTTTTAGTGTTATTTATCTTCACCCCGTAAGCTTAAAAAAATAGATGCTTGGTGGTTCCTGATTCTGAGTGGTTGTCTAGCTACAGTAAGTCCGTGATATAAACTATATGATTCGACAATCCTTACGAAACACTCTATACTAGTAATAACCATTTAGCCACCAGTGTTTCATTTCTAAGCCGAACTCTCGGAGTTCTAGTGATAGACCCATATCAATGAAGTTTAACAACGTTAAGAGCGAAACAATTGCCTACCGTTAGCAACAGTTAATGGTCACGCAATATGACAAGTTGTCCGAACACAAAAACGTGAAGTTTTGGATCCTGAATTGATTGTCTGGAGGTTAATGGCTCACTTAGAGCCCTGAAAGTACTGAGTTTGATCCCTGTGAAGTTTGTGAGTACGCACATTTGAGTAGTCCCATACCAGAGTGAAACAACTGCCCAATGTTTCCTGATTTTCATTGACTGCCTACAGCCTGTCCATGATACTAACTACAAAATATTGGTTAACAATTAAGTGAATTAGCATACAAATGATCATTGAAATAAGCATGTACGTCAAGTTAAAAATACAAATATCATTTATCATTTTGTCCTTGGTTCCCAAATAAATTATTATTAATCTGTCATAGTCCTAAGAAAATAAGTCTTAAAAAGAATTGCATTTCGTCTGTATAAAGGTTACAGCTTTGAGAATCATTTGGAGAACTGATAGTGATGTAATTTCATATGCTTTTAACTTATATAGCTAAAGAGATTTGTTGAAATCCTTCATTACTTACACTAATCACTCCATTTTTCCATAAACATTCCAAGTGCATTCAACTCTACTGTATATGGGAGGCAACAATTATGTAACATATTTTCATCCTTAATTACAGTGCATACAACAATTTTTTCTGGAGAATACTGACTGTAGGTGTATCCTAGTGAAAAAATGTTGTAGATTTCTAGTTGAAGTAAAACTATGGAGACAAGCTTTGAATTCACTGGCGACATGGTTTTAAATCTCTTAATCTTGTTCTAGAATTCTTATTGAACTTAAAGCTACTGACATATGGCTTTCTACCTTATGAAAATTGATATTTAAAGACAATTAATGATTTCTTTTGTTACTTATATTCCTAAAATATAATTAATTCACACGAATATGCAAATATCAGTATGCAATTTATCATTTCTAAATTATGGATTGTTCGGTTATCGTTATCAACCACATGACAATCTGATTAATCATTAACTTTTATTTTTGTATCATATTAATTAATAGATTTCCGAAGATGATTTACCCCTTAAAGATAGTTACCCTCTAAGAGATAGTAGAAATCATTCAAATTATCAAGTAATTAAGAATGAATCACGAAATACCTTGGATCAAAATACTTCATCAAATGGTATGTTTTTGAAAATATATATATCATTAATTTGATATGAAATAATTTTTTAAATACCTGTATATACCAATATTTTGTAGTTATCGGTCTTTACTTAACTTTATACAAACAGTTGTCTATATATGACCTAATAAAAGCCGATTTTAATGCATCACTGAATATTTTACCTAAAACAGATAGTGGAGTTTTGTATGTTCTAATTATCTCAATCTCTGAATGAAACACTAACTCAAACATCACAAGAGGTATTGCTCTCCTGAAAGACTGTAAATATACTTTCTTGATGAGTATCAACTAGCATGAAACGTAAGTTTAGAACATTTTACAGATTACCTCCAACCATGTGACTAACACTGAACAAAATATTCTCCACATTATCAGATCACCTGATGTACATTTAAAATTAGCCGACAAAATTCTCCTCGCATTAAGTACTAGACATAATTATTTATTATCCATAACGTTAGGTAAACTATCAAAAACATATTCATTGTATCAGTAGTATTTTCATATTTCAAGCAAAAACTTTGTACTTACAAATACATTTTATCAAACTTCTGTTCTTATCAAATTATAGATTTATTGCCATTTAACGTTAGTGTTAATTATACAGTCTATCGCTGTGGATCATGTAATGTAATTTTTAGTACACAATGTCTGTATGGTAAAATTTACCAAAAGAAAGGCTTTTTAATTTGATACACGTACATCTTAGTCGTTTAAATAATATTACACAATGCTGATTGATAGAAACTTGTGCAATAACTGGTAACTACTTTAGATACTAAATTAGCATCATTTGTGAATGGCTATTTAATGTCAGCAGACAATGGCTTTTTAGTCCGTGAATAAACATGATAATATACTGAAAATCGACAAAAATAAACATGAACAGGATTCATTCAAAATATAAGCGACCAAGTTACACAACTTCTGTAGATCACTTATACACTAAAAGAAGCCAGACCTAGATCAGGTTAACATTTCGTTTGGCTTGTCAGATATATCTCAAAGTCCTATTGAATAAATATTGAATTCATAAAAAAGATATGTTAGCCATTATTTTTTAAAACGTCAAATAAATTCCAAACTTTACAACATAAAATCCAAGGCTCACTGTTCAAATACATCTTTCCAACTAATAACAAGTCAGAAATATTTTGAAAAAGATTCATTCTTCATCACTATGCTAAAGATTATTTTTATGTTTCACTTTTTTATAATTTGTGCAATACATACATATATATATATAACCTCTGGAACGGTTGCTTAGTGGTTAAGGGATTCAACCATAACGTCCCGGTTTAAACTGCACAACACCTACTTCAATCTGGTCATCCAGGTAGTATCATTCGCCCTCATACTTAGAGTGTGACTCTTTTCCAAGAATCTAATTTATACGTTACTGTAGCGTAATCTAACCTTTGTTTTACTTTACAGATCATAATTCTATTGATCGATCCCTTAAAAAATCACCGCATGATTCACTTATCAAGTTGAAATCTCCATCAGTTGATTGTACTTTGTCAAGTCCTTATGTTCATCAAAATAACAACACTTCCTCAAGTCAACAATATCATTCTCGTCCAACTTTACTAAAACTCAAGACTAAATTTACAAGATCTAATAGTTTTTCACTGGGATCATATTCAAATGATACAGATTTGTTTAGCTCAAATCAAGATTTAAATGTTCTACGAAGTATTTTGGTTTCTAATGATGTTGTTATGGTCTTGTGCAATTCTTTGGATGCTACAATAGAAGTATGTTTAAACATTGTTGAATTATTTGGTAAATTTCATCTTACCAGAGTGATGAAAATATATTCATTATGGGTTTTATATGATGTATCGTATTTAGTACATTTTAAGCTTCATACCTTTTTCTCATCAAAAGCAAATTAGATTCATTGTCAGTGCTTACCTGTTTTAAGACAATCAAAAGAATAATTATAAAATTTATGTGAAGTGTTCATGTCATTAGTGTTTAGTACTTAAAAAAGATATTATACACTTAAATTCAAGTTGTGCTTGTGGTTCATTAATGCCATTTTATATTCAATACAAATTTATTTGAAGTAGACATTTAATGCAAGAAAATAAAAATATCTGAACATTATTTGACAAATTTATAGATTCCTAAGGCTGGCGCTAATACATTTTGTAATGTTATTTGTTTATTTAGCTCATTTACCAGATACAGATTGGCTACGATCTGTTGATACCACATGGTTTCTCAAATTGAAGCAGATCTTGATTGAAAGATGCCTAAGTGGATATTGAACTCTCTTGATCCCTCTAGCCATTATAGATGATTGTATACCGTAGTATTTAGTTATTCATGTTTAATTATAGATATCGTAGAGATTTTAATAGTTTTGATTGTTTCCCTTCAGTAGATAACGTGTGTTCGAAAATGTATCACATTAGTGATGATTTCTTATTGAATATTTAATTATTTGAATAGTGTGATTTAGCGAATATTCGCACTTATATTTCTTTCAGGGATTATGGCAAGCGGACACAGCACTTGGCCAACCTGGCTTAAGTTTATTCACACTTTATAATTATCCATTTAATTGTATTCTACCTTACAAGAAATCGAATTCGATTAATAATGAAAACAATACCTCTACAAGTCAATGTCTTATCAGTTGTATTATTCGTATTATCTTATATGTACTTGGTTTAAATCAAAGCTCAGTGAGTTATCAACGCATTCTACTTTCCTTGAAACGTATCATATCACGTGTAAGTTATTTTAACATTTTTTAAGTAATTAATATATGTTCGCTTTGTACCTCTATAATCCAATCGTCCCGTTCGCATATAATAACTGAATTATTTGATCAATCAATCTGAAATTAGTCTCAATTCGAGAGTACATATTTCCTCGAATTCTTTTCTTAAGAACGTTTTATCCCTCATCACTATGTTCAATGTAGATTTCGAAAATAATTTTCCTTTCTCATTGTCGTACTTTCCAGTAAATTCACATTTAATTCTTGTTGATGTTGATTTCTTTCAAAATTTATTTCTAGTTCCCTAGCTTCTTATTTGAAGATAATCCGGAATTTTGTTCTGTTTCATGTCATCATTTATTACGGTTATGTACAATGAAAGAAACAACTGTTCGCGACGATGCTGTAGATACATTATATTTTTTAATAAAAAATTATTATACACTAACTAAAGTATGTGGTTACTTTTGAATTTCGGTAATATTGTTTGAATAATTATGCCATAATGTGTTATCATATTCATAACTTATTGTTAATAGACGTTTTCTCCGGCTTGATATTTTATGGCAGTGCTTTCTACCACATTCTTCCTAACACCTGAAGTGAAGCTTGTGGGTGCTTACATTTCATGGATTTTTGGTTAACAATCCTAAATTTTAAAATGTGGATATTTCCTATTAATTATAGTTACTGCCATAAACATTTGAACGAACTATAAGCATGTATAATAGCGTGAAGATTTGTTCATTTTCATTAGTACAAAACATTCTCAGTGACATTAACATCAAATTTTTCAACTTAAAAGTATAAATAGCAGTAGCGTTGTTTAATGAACTGATGCATCGTAAAAAATGAGTTAAGCACTTCTAATCGTTTGGTATTTATCCGAATATTCTTTTCTCAATTTATATACCATCTTATATAAAGGATATTATGCTTGTACATTGACTAATCACTGAATAGTTACCATTGTCATATGTGTTTAGTTCTTAGTGCTGACTCAACTCTATCTACCAAGTTTCAATTAGGCGAATGATCTAGGTGACTCAATTTCTTCACTAAGGTTTGGTATTAGGTCGTTGAAGCTAGTCGACAGATCTTGAATTCAGTTTTCGTGCAAGTTAGCAGTTATCACTATGATATACTTGGAATCTTGAACAAGCTAATGCTCCCTAGATGATTAGAACGTATATCACAATGTGAGTGCTTACTACTGAACGATTCAGACTACATAGCTTCTGGCAACTTATAATCACCGAACTTGTAGTTTATGTCAATAATATGAGAATCACTCATTATGATTTAATTGGTTACCTGTAATAAGAGCATGACAGACAAACATAGAGTAGAGTATAGATATACGGTGGCGAAAGTGCCCGTATTTGGTTAGCATGAAGACATGATAATAACAAAAGAGATAAAAACAATCTTGTGTTATTATTCAAGAGAAATACTAAACCTTCAGAATACGATTTGAAAAGACAGAATGGAAAACTGCCAACAAATTATATCAATAACTTTAATTGTACTGCTGTTATTCACAATATTTCCACAAAGTTAAATTTAACAAATCTTTCATTTAATATATTGAACTAGTCAATAAATAAGCTCTATTGTGGAAAGTTCATTGAATAAAATGATTTTCATTAAATAGTGAAAAATGTTAGATAAATAATATATAGTTATTTGATTCGATCTCAATAGATGGTTAGGGAATAAACATTAATTCTACCTATTAGATTTATTAAAAAGTATTGAAAATACATTTATTGATTGTATCTTATCAACCTTCTGGATTTTCCATTAAACTTTATGTGAATTAATATATCCTGTAAAATTAACAGTTGAGTTTTAAGATGAATACTAGAGGAACAGAAACAGGTAACCCGCTTGTGTTGTTCACTTAACCTCAAGTAAGAGTGACTCTTTATCGTGTTAAAACGCATCACTAAGATGAGCAATCATAAAAATCAACCATTTTTCTACAGCTTAATTACTTTCCCTAACCAATTTCATTGAATCCCTATTCTGTTTACTTTGATCGAATATAAAGTTTAGTTAATAAATGTAAAATTATAATATAAGATTAGCTCATAATTTGCAGAAATATTCTCTCTATGATTGTTCAACTAACATTTTCAATACTTTATTAAACTGTTTCAAATATGGCCCACATTATTTAGTTGTTTACTTCATAACTCTTTCTCATGTTTTCTAATTTCCTACTAATCAACATCTTATTTCCGTTTTTTTCCTTCTTTACTCAAACAATAGAATCTATCTTTTGTCAAAGTACATCTTTATTTAACATTTAATTCATTTTTTACAAAGTTAATTAATAGTGGAATAATCATATCAAATAATTCACTAATGAATAAACATTTGAATAATAAAATGAATACTGAAAATATTCATTTCACATTATCGTCTACTTTGTTAATGAAAGCATATTTAATTGATTCATTACATTATTTAAAACATTTAACCTTATCAGATGTAGATTCTAACTTATCAACTAAATTAATTGATAACAGTAACTATGACGAAACAATGTTTGATTCAGAAAGATACATTGAACCATTTAATTTAACATCATTATCATTGAATAATAATGACGATGGGTATAATACGGTTTCTGGAATAACTACAACACCGATGACAGTGCCAACAATACCATTTATGTCAAATATTCCCACTACAAATTTTAGTTTACAAATTAGTCAACTAGTAGATAATTTAAATTATTTATTAAATGATGCTATACGATTACAAGATACAATCCATGTTGCATATAAACGACAACAGGAACAATCGAATGATTGTTTTAAACAAACAGTGAATGAAGATACACTTTCAATGATTGATTTATTACATTCTATATCACATAGAAACCGTGCATCACCAGAATTACGATTGTATTGGATTTTACAAATTGCTGAGAAACATTATGAAGTATGTTTTGTGTTTTTGTTTGTTTTGATGTTATTAAATTCGGAGGTGAATTTAGTCCTGTTTCTTGCTATTTATTTTAAATATGAATACAAAATGGTCTTTCTCAAGCTTACAGTCCACATATTTCCTGACTGTGGCATTGTGGGCCTTCGAAATGGACAAACTAAACAGGTGTCAGGTTACCCTCTTAGTTTAATTGTTAATTGAGTGATATTCCGTTTAAATATTGATTTGATGGAAATCTATTAAAAGTGAAATAACATCGATAAGCACAAATTGATTCAAATAGTTAGAATGTGTAACTATTTATTCGTAGTTTTCCAGTTTAATGTAGGAACTTAGGTCGATTTTCCATTTCTACATCTAATCAATTATGAACCATCAATTAGCGTACATTTGGAAATAATATTTAAATTTAATAGTTTGCTTTTTTTATTTTCTAACAACTGTTTAAATCTGAATTCATTTATAGCTTTCTCAATTTGCTGAAGCTTCTCAGTGCTTAGCACATTGTACAGCTATTGTCGCTGAACATATGATTAATCGAGGTTGTAGTCCATCTGGACTATCATCAGCTGGATGTGCAGATATTGCTGATGCTGTACAAAATCTAAATATACTTGAAGAAAGTTGTGCGTGCGGCTTTCCTAATACAAGTGTATTCGATAAGTTCAGTTGTTCTACACCGATAATCCTACAAGATTTATCATCTCTTATGCCTTTAGATGTTTCTTGGCATTTTACAATCCCTGGATTTATGGCACTAATATCGTGGACAGCAGAATCATTTGCAAAAGCTGGCTTTTATGAAATAGTTCCATGTTTATATTCTCGCCTTGTGCTTTTGTTGCAATCGAGTAATGATTATGGACGTCTAGCAGAGATCCATGGACGAATAAGAGATGCATATACCGTACTGAATAAAAATCAGGTAATATCGAAACATCTTTTTCGGTAAAAGTCTTTAAGGCAATAGAATTCAATATTTGTGATTTACTTCATCTTTAAAAATTTACCTGTATTATCATAATAAATTTAAGTAATATGACATCATCTTAAGGATATTAAGTAGTTGAACCCAATCGATAGGAAACCCTAGATATAGGTTTCTAAACTTAAAATGCTAGTGCGCTTGATGAGATCCAAACTTGTGTCATAGTGTCATGAAGACTTAACCACTTAGCTATTTGGTAGTAGCTGACCTTTTCTCGAACGAAGATATTCACATTGATAGATCACTGTAAAGTAATTATTGTTAGGTTTGTGGGATTTTTAGTGGTAATCAAATCCTGTACACTAATTTCTGGTAGTTGATCCCACAATAATGTGTCTCATTAGTCTTTGATGAGCGATTCCTCGGGTTCGAAAGTATTCTAAATCAATACTTCTATTTAATTTTCTTGATTTATAATGTTTGTTGCTCCGGTTGTGTAGAAAAGGCAATCTTTATTGTTAGCGTTAGATCTCTAGGTTTTTAGTATTATGAAGGAAACTTGTATTCTCTATATGATTCCCAGTTATCTCTTTATTAGTCCAATTAAAACTGATATCATCAACGTATTTTTATTGCGTCCGCACGCGTCTCGCATTCCGATATTCTCATTTAGCTTAGTGATCTTGTCGAATTATTTCGGTGATAAAACCTTTTCTAATTTTTTCAGAATACTAAAAGAATGTTCAGTAGTTATTTCCGTGTTGGTTTTCATGGAATTATTTTTGGTGAATTAAACGGTAAAGATTTTATATATAAAGAAGCTCCATTCACGAAATTGGCTGAAATCACTCATAGACTTCAAGTAAGATTTTTTTTATTACTTTTGTGTAGAAACGCATTCTGTGTAACTTTAAGAAGTGAGTTTTGTCGCAGTTTTCAATTTTTATGCAAGATCACCAAAATTCACCTTTTTGCGTCTGTTTTAACTACTCCTGTCACTGTGGAAAAGAGAAACTTTGGACTTCGAGCTCATAATAAGTTCACAGTGTTAATAGTACAATAAAATTTAAATTATGAAAATTAAATAACTTGAAGAGATTAATGTAAAAATCAAATCTGTCCTTAGTTGCTTGTGAGACTGTGTGCAACTCACCTGAAGGACGGTGTTTTTCAAAAAATTGCCTTCCAAATATTCTTTTAGGTTTATTCGTAATATTTATCTAGTGAAAATTCTAATTAAACTCTAACTCAATTGTTGTTATGTACTCTCCTTTTTTGCCTGTAATTCTGTAGGCATTTTATGGAGATAAATTTGGTCAAGACAGGATAATCATCATTAAAGATTCAAATATTGTAGACGAAAAACAATTAGATAGTGATAAAGTAAGTAAATTATGTGTTTTGTAAATTACTTTTTCATTGCTTAGTTCAAAAAAATTTCTAACTTTTTCCAAGTTCCATAAAAGTCAAAATGTCAGGGTTATCGATTAATAAAACTTTTTTGGTTTGAGGATTGAACATAACTTACTTATCTTCAGTCAAACCACACTCGTTAAATAGTGTCAGTCCACTAATATAATCTCAACAACTCAATCGGTAACTTCATAATTCCCTTTAATGCTAAGCAAAAAACACTACAGAAATTAGTTTTAAAACAATGTATTTTACTTTCGAAAAGCAATTTCACCACGTAAATATTCAAGTAAACCAATCGTCATATTTTACTATTAGTAAACGTTTTATTCGATAGTTTCATCACATCAATTCGAAAATTTCAGTTATTCTCAAAAATATTTGATATTTACTCCCCTTCGTTTTCGAGATTGAAGAAAGTTAGGCTATACCTGAGTTGACTATATCAGTTTTAGAACATAATATTTGATTTATAAAGCCATTCATTTCCTCATGAAATTTATTTGACGTTTCTTTCATTCATATTCATTAAGTTCGGCATTTGACTCATTAGGAATATATGTACATTATTTTTTCACACCAAAGTTAGTCATGGTCTGGAACTAACGAGTTTTGATATTCTAATGCATATTTGTAGCCTGTTTTTTATGCTTTAGATCGTATATTTGCTCTCTACTCTTAAATAGAACTATTCATGGCATTTACTTCACATTTGTATGTTTAATATAATGGAGTTATATTTGATCATAAGAATGAGAATCTGTGGAGATTGTATTAATTTTAAAAGCTGGATTCATGAGTCGATCTAAGCTAGACCACATGGAAGCACTGAACATAACGGTCGTCCAGTGCTTCCAGGTTTTCAATGATGGTCTAGCTTAGATCGACTCATGAATTTAACAATTATATTTTATCAGTGTCTTTTTTATTATAAACATGTGATTACTTTCTAAGACGAAACATTACTTTGTAGTTCTGGTTTTCCATGGAACTGTGATCTGAACACTTAACTTTCCGGTGTTTAGGTTCAAGCTTAATCGTCACCGCACTATTGACACAAAAACTGATCGTTACCAAAGTTCATACTACGAGTATAGTTAATTATTTGTACACAGTTAGTGAGTATGCATTATTTTTTGTTTATTTTTTTCTTACTTCGGAATTTAAACTTAGTAACTAGTTTTGTACAATGATTTGTAACGTGAACCTTATTAATAGTTATTATGTAACGTAAAGCAATCCTCCCTTAACCTTTCATTACCATGTATCTTATACTCTAATTATCTTTTATATGAGCAAGAATTATGTTCTGTTCAACTGGATATTTTATATTAGATTTTTCAACCGACAATGTCATTATCCTTATTTCTGTAGGGTTATCTTCAAATCACTTTTGTGGAACCATATTTGGAGGATTTTGAACTTCGAAGACGTACAACTAAATTTCATTGTAATTATGGTCTAAGTAAGTCAGAGACTAGTTTTCTTTTTAATTTTTATCCTTTCATTATGTCACTGTAATTTAACTAGTCATTCCATAGTTGTATGAGACAGAAATATCAAATCTTAATTGCCCCTAGATATTTTCAATGAAAGTCAAATGCTTCCGACCATGTAACTGATATATTATGATCATAGTTTCTCATTAAAAACATATTAGAAGTTGTATATGTACAGTATTAAATACATTTTTTTATTTGTAGACTTACAAAATGTTAATTTATTAGTGAAAATAACTATTATTTAGGAGAACTTAAATCTGAAACCATAGGATGATATGAAAGTTAACATTTTTGATCCCCATTAACCCTTATCTCACATTCACTACACTGATGTACTTATGAGTAAGAACATAAAAACATTTACAATTGGTATTAGATGAACTTACTGATTACACAATAGAACAATGTCGCTAGATTACCTTGACAGTATTGCCTTTTAACTGAGATCATGAACCGATCACCGGTGGTCTAACTTTCATCGGCTCATGATCTCAACAATATCCACAACCCTATACTAAGTATTACCCTTAGTTTATTGAGTTGGAAACAATATAAACTTACTAAAAAATACGATATTGATTGAATAAATCTATAAAATGCCATTATCTGCTATACTCATTGTAGGACAACAATCTATATTTCTCAATGTCAGACCCACCTTCATATGATTGGACAGGACTGTTCTCTGCGATTGTTTGTTGATGGATGAGCCTGAGAAGCTCATTGACATCCTGAAGTTTCGTTATATAAACACCTCAGGCAGATTGAAGGGATATAACCACCTCTCTCCATTGTTTTATTCAAGCAATGAGATCAGGTAGGGCTGCCAAATCTCATCAATCCTCTTTAACTCTACCATCGATAGGATTCTGAAAGCACCTCTGATGTCAGTAGGTAATTGTGATGTTGATCTGTTAACTGGAGAAATCCTCGACCTTCAGTGTGCAGATGTCGTTTTACTGTTTGCTGATACTCAAGTCATGCAATCAGCGCTTAGTCAATTGGTAATGAATGTCCTTAAGTATGGCATGTGCTTTGCACCTTGTAAATCCAAAGTGCTTCTAAAAGACTAGCAGAAACCTGTGCCTGCACTCGCACTTAGTAGTGAGCGGTTATACAAAGCACAGTAGCTTGAAGAGTTATCGGGAATGTTTCGGAATAAAAGCCAGTGCCAATCCGGCTGTAATTTCCCTTCATTATCTTCATAGAAGTGAGCGGAACTTCTCTAGCCAAAAGGATTTGTAGTTACAGCTTTCTTAATTGAACTGCTTCTCCCATTATTTGTTTTTCTCCTCTTTACTCTCACACACCTATTATTTTGCTATTTTTCTTTACTACACTCATCTTCCCGATTCTTTCTATTCATCATCTCACTTATTGCGTGAAGTTAAATAGTCTACATACCATAGGGACAAAGTAAACTTTCCCTGTTTTTAGTGTATGGATCAAAGAAATATATTTACAGATTACATGTGAATAAGGTTGATTAATTAAACAAGACAAAAAAAGCCATTTAAGAAAAAGAACGATTTGACAATGCTACTTTCTCTAATATTTTATCTTAAACAATTATTAACAATCTATTTGTAGTTGAATATTTTGTTATACTGTCTCTCCTTAAAATCTCTTCAATTTTTTTTTAATGAACTAAACTTAATTCCTATCCATACGACAATATAAACACAGTATTTACCTAATGTAAATAGATTGGAATTCATTTACTGAAGAGTTGGTACATTTCTATTTTTAGTGTGTTACTTCAATATTTAGTATTTTATTGTGAAAGGATTTTACTATCACTTTTTTTCAGAGCGTTTTGTTCTTTCTCTACCGTTCACAATTGATGGACAGCCTCATGGTAGTTTAAGTACACAATACAAGCGAAAATACATCCTAACAACATCCCGATGTTTTCCGTATATGAAGACACGTTTATTAGTTGTATCAACTGAATCGCATACTCTGACCCCAATTGAAGTTGCTTTAGAAGATATAACACATCGAGTTGAACAATTAGATCGAGTATTAACAACAGAACCACCTGACGTCAAATATTTACAAATGTTATTACAAGTAGGTTGTTGTGATTCATTCAAATTTCATTTTAATTAAAAAATTTCCGTGATTACTAGTGTGTATATAGATGTTGTAGTTCACCTAAAAATTAGCTAATTTAATTAATAAATTTATGTTCAACATTTCTCTAGATAACTGACCTCTGCATTTTGTATTTCGACAAACCATTCTAATCATATAAAATTTACAGGCGAATTTTACATTATTACATTCTAGAACTGTAAACTTATAATTATTGTCATATTTTTCTTTCATTGTGCAAGATTCTCCATATTTGGTATAGAGCGAGAGGTCGATCAGAGTTGAATACCTAAACGTGTATTGGTAGGTGATTTGCAAAAGAAAAAACAGTCCAAGTGATTGGCATGAACTGACCCCTTCTTTATACCTTGGTTTCTAATTTTTACTTATAAATCGATAATTCTAAAATAATAGTTCAAAGTATCCACGACTATTTCGTTACTAGAAGTGTTGCTGACTGAATTCCACTTCACGATACTTAGTTATACTGGTATCAAGATCCAGTGGTTATTGGATGATCAGAAATAGCTCTGTAAAATACCAGTTGAGAATCCTTTTTATTGACGGAAGTAACAATGAGAACAGGTTGTAGTTGATATGTAGTACTTTTTGAGTGATAATTACACAAGGGGAAATGTGTTTGTACTGTAGGGGCTGATATGATTTCAAGCCCACATAGTTTATTCTAGCTTCTGGACAGACCAATCTTTTCATTCTTCTCGAGCCACATTTTTACCTTGTCACTTATTCGCCTATTAGTCCTGCCTGTTTTTTTATGTGATTGCGTGTTAATTATTTACCCTATTCATTATGAATCGGCAACTTCTTTTTGTCTGACTATAAATATCGATTCAACCTTGGTTAGATCGAGTTGGTTCACATACCATCTCCGGTTCGCTTCGTTTTTCTGATTGTTAGTTTGGACCAACGATTGTATGAAATATACGTATTCTAAATCCATTCTCGTAATGGACTTATTTAATTCCTTTATTCGCTAACGCGATTTAAGACGATAACTACATACAAGAGTTGGTGGCACGTATATTTCCATAGCAATCATTCGTCCGATCTAATCGGAGTCAGATTTCGGGTCGCACTACAATACCAGATATTGTACAGTACACAGAAACAGTATTATGTAATACTGATAATCACGTTAAACATGAATAAAATTTTAAGGAAACAAACTTTGATAACAATTGTTCACAAATCAAGTTTTAAAAATCACTAAACGGATACCCACTAAATTGTCCATGGGCATTACTACAGTAAACTATTGTTTGATAATAACAGCAGATACAAAAATATATAATGCATTTGGATATTTTGCAAAAGTAATATGATTGCTTTGTATAATAATTAAATATGGCAAACTATTTCTAGAAGTGGATATTTAAGAGAAGTTACGATGCTAAGACATAGCGCCCATTAACAAAAGTGACAACTTACAATGCCGATCTGTATTATCTCTAAGGTTTTCACCAATCTCCTACTACAATATGTTGTTTGTTTTTGTTTTAATTCGTAAGATTTCATCGGGAATATTGATAATTACGCTTTTTTTCTTCCAGGGATGCATCGGAACTGTGGTCAACCAAGGACCTGTTGAAATGGCAACAACTTTCTTGGGGCATGAAAAAAATAAACCATTAAAATCATTAATTCCCGATAAGAATAAGTCGTCTACAACATTGAATTCCACTACATATGAAGATATACAAAATCGTCTTAGGATAACTTTTCAACAATTTCTGATAAAGTAATTTTTTACTGCATCATTTATAAATGTATATGTTTTAACAAAAAGTACTGTAACAATATGTAGGTGTGTTTGTAATTTGAAGCAAAAATGAGAACTTAGTATATATTGCTATCGTCAATAGAGTATTAATAGTTAAATTACCTGATTAAAATAGCTCCGTCAGACAAAAAAACACAGATCTTATATGTCTAAACACCTTTTTAATCAATCCGTGTGATTAAACATTTATTTCAGTGAATTAACTGCTGGAATAATAAAGTTAATTAGTAACTAACTAAATTACACAGGGAATTCTTGTGAATATATTCTTTCAACAGGTTGACATTAAGTAACCGGCCTATATGATTCCCTACCACCCTTTTTAAAAAAATTGTGGGGTGTGAATGAAAAATTTAGGTATCGTTGATTGGTGGACTTGTTTTGCAAGTGTGTGCTCAAGTGATAATGAACAAACATTTTGTTACCTTTAATAATTTTGTGATTGGTCGTAAACTGTTCACCTTTGTAATCTGATTAGTTGAAATCGAAATCACATCTGGAGCTGTGATTGGATGTCAGAATTTTAATTTTTTACATTTGAAATTTAATGATAATGAATAAATTTTTTTGTGTAATCTTAGTCTTGAAAAAAATTTAGACTTTTGAAGAAAAAGACACCAACTTAATTGCATTACCGTGCAATCCTACTGTTAGTGAATGTGTATTGGGATCAATTTTTGTTTTCCGATCAAGTATACCGTGAATTGAAGTCGTTAGTTATCGGAACACGAATAATTATATGTATCTCAGTAAAAGAAAGTTTTTGGGAAAAAGCATCTGTAAACCGGTTTGAATATTTGATAATAGTGATTACTGAATGAGGTCAGTAGTCAAATATTTAATACCAAATTAATAAACAAATTATCACCAAAGTGTGTGCATAGGTTTTTTTGTAACACACGGTGTGTTAATGGGAAAAAGAAATCAACATATCAATAAATCATTATGATAACTTACTGGTTGCAATATTTATAATTCAGGTGAAGTTCTGTATTTTAAAATTAATTTTTTGGTCGTAATAAAAACTGGTTTGTTTAATCAGTCAAGTGTGAATATTGTTAACCGCCGTAATATGAAACCTGAATTATGTAGACATTATGAATGTAACCATTTTTGACAAGCATTTGAAATATCAGTTTCATGAAGTGTAAATGAACAAGCCTACGTCGTCTGACTGACTCAACAAATATCTATCGACATTAAACGTATAAATATGAATAAGGTCAACTGTATCAATGATCATTTAAAATGTTATTCTTATTTATTTTCCTTATGATCGTTATTATTATTATGTCAATTGACAAGATTCAATTGCAATGTATTTCATTGACACAAAATTTTTTGCATTTTCAATTTTCCTATAATGCTTAGTCATTTATTGTGACTGAACACTTTACTGCAAATCATCCCGACCTTTAGTGAATGACCTTTTTATTTTGTAATCATATATATCGTTACAGATGTAAACGTTAACCATTGTTAACATATTACACTGTCAAATTCATAAATGTCATGCTTTATTTTTGGACTTTATAAAATATTAAAATTATGGACTAATAACTGTATAGTGTGATGATGAAGTTAATGAAAACGATTGTTTCCTAAATTATTTTTTATTTTTGAATATTTTAAGGGAATATTTAACTGGTACAATGTGATTGTACCAGTCATAAATAGTTGATGAGGTGTGCAAATGAATACGGTGATATAATCAGTAGTTATGAATAACAATGGAGGCTTAGTTTACGATCAGACGTACTTCTTACGTACGCATAGTTCTGGTTTCAGGAACTTTTAATATAAAACAAGAATATGAAATTCTTGTTTTTTGTATTCATAAAACCGATAATATTCTTATTTCTTTTTACACTTACTATATGACCTTTAATCACATGAATCATTTCAATGATGATGGTTTCAACTTGTTTTCTAATATCATTATTTTATTCCTAAATAAGTAAATTTTCTCAATTTTGTTTACTTCTCTATGAGCTTTACTCACATTCATCTTTGTAATTATCTTATTACATTCACTAATAAATGTCCTCATAAGTTTATTGACCTAACGACAAAATTACGATTTTCACTCATTTAAAATATTCCTATTAAAATGTACTCAAAATGTACTTTTATTAGATAGTTTACAAATGTGTTACTAAAACATGAACGCTAATCACATTATTTTCAATATAAAATTACTAGATTAGTCTTCATTAGATGACAAAATCTTGTCTAAGTTTTCTTAACCTTTATATCTAATAAACGTTAGAAACAAGTTTACGAATACATGAGCGATAATGGCTTTTCCACTATTAATCTCTAAGGCATATCTAAATTCATGAGACATTAATAAGTGCTTAATCACTTGACCTTTGCGGCGGAAAAGTAGTAGTAGTGGGTGGCCCTGAAAAGGGCCTTTACTCGTTCTCGCGGTCGAACGTCATCACAATTAGTTTGTAATGGCGCCACAGATAGGACAGTGCACTGCTCGTACGTTCGAGTGAACATGAGGCGAAAGAACAGTTGTACAATTTCTGCTCGCACCCTCTACAATAACGGTTACTGGGTTAATGTTAATGAACGAAACACTTACCCTTTTTATCACATTCCGAACAAGGTGTACGCGACACAGAATATGGTGTGCATCCGGATACACCTGCGTAATAGCAGCAGCAATTGCAGGTGAATCATCGGTCACAATGCCTACCAGTTGTCGACTGTTGGTACACCGTTGGAAAAAGAAGAGGAATCGAGAAATCAAGGCCGACGTTTCGCGACTTAAAAAGGCAATGCACGTGGGTATTGCCTTAAAATTCATATCCATGGCAACGACTTGATATAAATGGACGTTCTCGTTATTCGTTTTGTACGTCCCGTCAAAACCAACTACGTCACAAAAGTGACCGGCCAAATTCACTTGCTCAGCAGTCATGAAGAAGAAATACGATAGACAGTTCTCATCGACCAATTCGTATTCGCAAAGCCCACCCAAGGATGTTATGTGAGCTTTCAATTTCCCGTAATCACCTATAGTGTACATTATAAATTGGCAAATTCCGTACCAGGAAGGTTCGCGTGTGAGAACACTTTGTACCGCATATTGCAGACATCTTGAGCGGTCAGCCATTTCCCATAAGATTGGTAAGTAAAATTCTTTATGTGGAATGCAGCGGTACCGGAAATCAGCAGCGGTCTCACAGTTTCAAACTCCCCATCCGTTAACCTGCGCATCCATGAATTACCCTGGTACCTCAGGGAATTGCACTCGTGATTGTGATGTACATTCCCACGTACAACAGTCCAATAGCCGTCTATAATCTTACAAAACATAAATGCTGGACATTGGGTGTTCATAGAAGCCCTTCATTAAAAAAATTATAAAACAATTTACCAAATTACCTCCTCCGTCTAATACGTTGTGACGAACCGCTAGATCTTATACGCCCATTTCGCCAACACACAAATTTAATGTAGGATTTTTGATCTCTGCCAATATGCGAATCTCTCACTACATAATGACTGTAAGTCGATCTTTCAAAATTTGTGATAGTGGTCTTTAACGCTTCAACCGATGGAAACGCAACCAGAAACAAGGTAGTCAAAAAGACTTCCTCCATTCCCGTTACGTGAGAAACACCAGCGCTTGTACTCGGCACGTTACTCTGCTCCATAATGACGATTGAGATGGTGCTTCGTCGACAAGTACTGATAATTTATAACAATTTTCAAGACATAACTAACCAATTAAATCTAATTTTTGAAACTAGCCATTTCATTGGACGAAACACGGGATGAAAAATATTGTAATTCGGGGGTGGAAAATTTTTTTTTTAAAAAAATGGCCGGTCGGACAATATTATTCCTTTCAACAGGTCACTATTCTTTACGGTACAACACATTTATGAACATAAAAACAAGAAACTCTTCCATACATATGTGATTTTTCTATACAGGATACTCCATACACTGACTCGATAGCTTCCATTTATTCTTATTCATAGTTCTTAAGTGAACTAGTTGAGTCTTGATATTTACGAGACGCTTCATACAAGCACAAAAATCGAGAAATGAAGTGTATCCTTATGATTTTACATCTAGCTGACGTCGAAGAATTCCATTTACAGGCACACAACACAGTGTTTAAGTTAGGCTGTTCAAACTAGACTTAAATGCTATTAAGCAACATTATACTGAATTTATACTTATACTGTTAAGCTAAATTATCATCTAAAAAACTCAACAGTATTTAGGGAAATAAGATATAGGTCAATTGTTTTAAGCTTAATTCCCTGTTTTACATTTGTAAACAATATTGACGTGTTCTTAGAAAATAACTTTATAAAAACCTGTGCTGATAGTTTTTTTGCCAAGTTGTGCTTTTCTAGAACTAGCAACCACTTTTACAAAATTTGCAGACTCACTTTTTCCTTATTACACCTTTGTCCATTCCTAATTATAGATCATATGAAGCTCTCCGTCTAAATGAATCATTAATCGGTTCTGATCAGATAGAATATCATAAACAGTTGGAAAGAAATTTCACCAACGTTAAACGACTACTTGATCCTTTGATCGTGATACCTAAATCCACTTTGACTAATGGTTTTACAAGGATGAAACAAAATGATGAATTTCCACTAAAATCAACAAAATAATGGCATAAAGTCTGCTGAATACTTTTCAATTTATTCTATACTACTGAATACCATTTTCAGTAACCACCTTCGCATTTATTTACAAAGTTCCATATACTCGTGAATAAATTAAGACAATAAAAAGTGGTGATACTTAATTTACAACTTGTTCATTCTGCGATGTCAATCCGGTAAAATTCTACCCATCTACTTCATTCTTTTCATCACTTCTGTTGTTTATCTTCACTTGATTTTGTTATTTATTTAATAAACGGAATAATTTACATAATTTCATTCTTTCCTTACTTCTTAGTCTCTTCTTTTTTTTAAATACCTACAGAAGACGTGTACAATAGTTTATCCCGCAAAACTATACTGTGATAAAACATTTTTCGCACTTTTAGCCCGGGTTTCTACGTTGTTATTTATTTCGTTTTGGAATTTCCTCGTATTAGGTATTTTCTTAATTTATCTACTCTGCATTGTACTGTAAATACCTGTATATTAATTATTGTATTTGAACAAATATTCCTACTAAAATTTATTTATGTATAAATACATTGATATGTCTATTATGAACTCTGTGTTTAATAATTGACTGATTAGTTGTTTAGTAGAAAATGAACCTCGAAACTCTAAATAGAGATAATTCAATCCGTTAAACTTTCTAATACTATAATAATAATAAAACAGTAAGGAAAATACAATTAGTGAAACAAAATCTACGCTAATTAATACGTAAATAGAGGCGTAGGTAAGTGAAAGAAAGTAGATCATTTAACATTCTAGACTGGACATAGTATGAAGACGTACGCCATTACTATTAATTGTAGTCTGAATACATAATAATTTAAGAATTGAGCGTACGAATCCCATAAGTGGTTAAAGCAGATCAATCACTGCCAAGTATTTCATTTCTGACTTTCGTGGTGAAGATATTCTTAGTGCTTTGAAAGTACACTTTGTAACTTTACAACTATAAAAATACATTTTCACATCCGATTTGGGTTAAACACTATTTAACTTCATTTGTAGATAAAATACCCCTTTATGCACAAGAACTACTATCAAGAAAACTTTGTTCATTCCATTAAATAATCAAACCTCTGAATTTTCTCAATTTTATCCTACAATGACTTTTCCAACTATCAGATGTATTATCAATGTTCATCAAAAAGAATAAATAATACTATTTCATTAACAAAATCTCACATTCCAATCATTATAATCAATGGCTAAATTGTATTTATGCTTGTTTGTGGACAAATCCACAATTAAGTTATATTTAATAAAAAAAACTACCAATCAGATATTTGTCAATTCTATAGTAACTAGTTCTTAACCAATGAGAACAACATGAAAGTTAGACCGATATCAACCAGTAAAACATTTTTTTCCTTTAAAGTATATTTTAGGATATGAATTATTTACAATATTAAAGAACTTTATACTGTTTTAATAAGCTTAAAATGTTATGGAATTTGATAAGATGAATCGATATGAAAGTAATCAGTAGTCAGAAAATCTCATTTGTAACAGTATGCCATTTGATTATTTTTTACGTATTATGTAAAGCGAATGTAGGTGAGTTGACAAATTTTCATATGTAATTCTACTTTTATCGACTTATTATCGAACCATTTTAAATCTATATTTTTGGTGGAATAGAGCTTCATATCATAAGAGTTCTAATACGCCTAGATTATAAGACTGAACTATTTCAAGTTTTAAGGTGTAGCTTTACTTTAATGAACATTTAGCTCCAATTTGTTGCTAAATTTAGTACCGTAATAAAGTCAGCTATTTCTAAAGCAACGTAAAAATCTCTACAGTATAGTTCAGTATTCTTTCTGAAGTTCAATTTTAAGAAATAACTTACAGAAATCCCAAAGTTCTGTTACTACTTTATTTTGTCTCAAGATGTTGTGCTTGTGTAGTTCTCCAGAAAATTTGGGATGGTAATCAAAATTAGTACACTTCTGACAAATATATTTAACTTCAAAAAGTTAAAATGAGCAAAGACGAATGTCAAGTTGTCCAGAGCTTTGATCTGACCATTAGTAATTTTTGAAGGATCTTTCAGTTCACGAGAAAAACAGTAGTCTATGATATACTGGTATCACTTGCTTTGAGTAGCCAACTTATTAATAGCAAACGAGTCATATTACTAGATACATATACTAACTACAATCAGAAGTTGTGTTTAGTTAGTACACTACAAATCCAAACAGTTGCACGTATATAGCTGCAGTTGACTTGTGTTTTCGCCGCCACATCACTTTGAACAACTTTCAAACGACTAAATAGGCAACGAAGCCTTGGTTTGATGATTAGTGAGAAGGCTTAATGCATCATAACAAAACTAAGTGATAACACAATGAACATGTACATAGAATTAATTAGTCCGACTTCGATAATCAGTTAACTCCAGTATATTCCCTGACGTAAGTTTTGACGATGCACTGAGAATTTATCAAACAAGCTATACTTTGTTACTAAGAAAGCTAATTAAATACCAATAAAAGCTGCAAAACCAGAGAAACTATGTGGAAAGGAAAATAATGACGATAACTAAACGTTCCTTTTGTAATTAAAAATACGTAACGCATTCATCATGTCATATAATAAAAACTTGCTGCATTTCTCTTAATAAAAACTTCACAGCAACAGCAATCGCCTGTTATTCTTGTGTGTCAATGAACAAAAGTAACCCACCATGTGAGGATCCAGTCAGTGCTCATATCACGATTCAACGACCATGTCGTCAAACGATACCTGGACATGAAGGTTTGTTTTATGCCCACTACTGCACAAAAATAAAGGGTATTCGCCAGAAGGACGGTTCCAGTCTACTGATACGGAGATGTTCTATGGATAAACTAACCGACATACCAACTCACTGTGGACAATTCCAATTAGATGATGACTTATACCACGGATGCATTGCGACTTGCTCCAAAGACTGGTGTAATACTGGTGATAGACCTTCAGTTTCTGTCAGGATGTTAACATTCTGTTTGCTTACTTTATCGTATACTGTGATACTTTAGTTAAATTAGCTAATACAAACCTAAATTATTGCAGGTGGTATGTGTAACGACATTCTTATTACATCACGATCAAACCAAACTTTGCATTTAGCATATCATATAAATGTAACACTTAATTTTGAAGTTTTAATTCGTTCTGAACAGATATAAAATATGACCTCAAAATCAAACTATATCTAAGTTGAATTTAAAACAAAGTTGATGCTTTTTTGTTAAACTTATGAAGTAGTTCCTTTAGCAGCACCAGATATCATCTAGATCATGACTGAGTTCTTGATTGTAAGCGACTTACCTACAGGACTGAATCCCACATACGGCAGTGAATATAACCCTAACATTAACGGTTCAGATCATATTTTGGTCAAAATCACTGGTAATTTGTCATTGAGCTATCAGTCAGCATTGCGCGAAATAGAATGACACATGTGCATTCGTTCAAACTACCACACCACATTAGCACGAGATGAAATTACGATAAATCCTAGAATAATGTGTAATACCAGTAGTAGTAGATAAGATCACAGTCAATACGATTCGAGAAGGATAAAGTTGAAGAATAATACAATAAAATGTATGATAATTCTGAAACTTGAGGTCTAATAAAAGAAAACGAGTGAATGCATCCTTATTAATGCGACGGATCTTGGACTATGTTACCCAACTTCTACGGCAACTGGTTGCGATAATCGCGTCGACCCTTATCGAGGAGTTTGTATCTACTAACATGACACAGTCACTAAACTGTAAGTCAAAGGTATCTTTTTTCATTTTAAAAAATGTTTCCTTTATATAATGAATATATTCAGTAATATTCTTTGTTTATAACTTTCTGATTGTTAATTTATTGTCTTTAAAACCTAAGAAAAATACGAACCCCAAAAAAACGAAACATGTATGAAGTGCAAACTAGTTAACAAGATGTATACATGATAAACATGCAAGTAACAAGTGTGAACTAGGCATATTTTACGGAAATATATACAACTGATTCCTGTTAACTGGAAGTTTAAACATTTATCAAGATATCATCGAAATGGTTAAGACTGTCAGTAAGCAATTTAGAATTGGCAATCGCTAGCGGAAAGGTTTATAATGTAGAAACTATCAACAACAAAATAAGAACCTATGTACAATCAGTCTCCAAATTTTCTTTTCTCAACCGTTTACAACCTTAAATCGATGGAACACAAACAAACTATTTTTAGCGTCTGACATTAAGATAGTTCACTTCATCATGTAACGTGGAAGGAAATAATTATTAAAGTAATCCATCTACCAAGTACGGGTTTGTTCACTCCGTTTTCAGGCATATTGTTTGTATGCGTGAGAAGACGGGAAATAATAATACCTCTGTTGTAAAAGTTGAAGTAGGTGGAGGGTGTTTCGAATCTGAGATTTACGGTTGGGACCAATGTTTTGATCACTAAGCTGCTGATCTTACAAAATCACGAATTATCCAATGACATCAAGAACTTATTAAGTAAACTAAGACATTTCAGATGCCATAGCTACATAGTCAAGACACTAACGGACTAACTTCTTGAACTATTGAACTGAGTAAAAATATGAAAAAATATACCTAGTGCGGTGCGACCAAGGTTTTTGATATTCAAACTACGAAGAATTCGGCAGAATTCTACCTGAAACACTTCGATTCCCGTAGTAGACATCTCAATATTGGATCAATAGCGTTTTACGAAGTTCACCACGATATTTATCTTGTCTCTTAGTTCTCCTTAATATGAAAAAAATACTATAAATAAGAGAATTTTATACAAAAAAGGGACGGGCTAAAGATCAGGAGTGAAAAAAGAAAATAATCCCAACTAGAGCCAAAAGTGAAATGTACTTTTTAGTATTCAGGAATTGATCGATTGGTGTTACGAATCCATGTTTAATTCGAGAGCAAATAAACTACTATGACACGATGTAATTCTATTCGGTTCTTTTAATTATGGAAATGCACCTTATTATTTACAAAGGTACTGATTCTTGTTTTGAGTACAAAAGAGAAATGTTTATTCTACGTCTAAAGAACGAAATAGTAACCAATAGCTACAACCAAATCATGTGAAACTGTACACCACAGAGTGAAAAATTTTGAAACAATATTATACGGAAGAAAATGGGATGTTCAAACGAGTACGTGTGCATTCTTCTTCTGGAGATAAAGAAAGACCGATTGAATAAAGAGGATCATGCCTGTGGTCATATTGTGGAACATCTATTTCCAAGTGATCTGACATAATAACGCGAAATAGTTCATCACAAGGAACTCGAAGTACCAAATCTGCAACCACATCTTTGCACGTTGGTTGTAAATTGATAATAACCAACCGACAATTTTCAGGGGTATCAGGGATTGAAGTCGGTTTGAACACAGAATCAACACATGTGGGTTTCTTTTTATGTTTGCTCGATGAACTTAGTTGACCGCACCTCCCAAGGCCATGAGGCCATAAAAATGAATAGTTGCGCAAAACAGTTAAAGATGAACCAACAACAACAATTAATTTAGCAGGAGTATCCAGAGAATCCGGAGAGATAGGTTTTAAATCAACTGCTTCTGATGTTTTACAAAAATCCTGACACTCCATCTTCATAGCAGGACACATTCTTTTGAACCATGGAGATCCAATGAGATATTTTGTTGACTCTTCATGGGAACGTTTGCATCCATGATTCAAAGGTTTACGGTCATTCGAAGTGGCATTGATAGCATCTTGAAGAACTTTACGGCCATGTACAGCTTCGATCGCTGATCGAATGCGATATATTTCTGTTAGCCCCATCTCTGGTTGTCTTTCAAAAAAGTGTACAACAACATCTCTTAGTAAAGGTGCCTTCGTAAGAACTGAGTCCGTCAGCATCTCAGACTTTTGAGTATTGCGTAAATGTTCCACTGCTTTAAGACGTACAGCTTCAAAAGATTTGGCTAATTTTCTTGCAGCATATCGGTAACTCAACATAAGATTTTCATTTGATACATTTTTCTTGTATTTAGATACTGCCGAATGTTCAGCTGTTTTCTTTAGTATATCACTGGCTATTGTACTTTCAACAGGGTGTAAATTACGACACCGAGGACAAATGCGTCCAGTATAATGGTGTGAACGAGAAGTTGTTTCGGCAACGTCAAAAGTCCGAAAAACAGTGTGTTCACAAGCGATGCATTGCTACAATAAGAAATATCAAGGCAAAGTATGATTTATACTATAAAGCACTTTATTCATTTGTTTCACAAAACACACCATATAAATAATTAGACGAAGGATGAAATGATTTAAAAAACTCACACAGAAGAAAAGCAGCGATATATATGCGAAAATCAGAAGTATCGTATTTTAATTCACTGGTCTATGTATTTAAATTCTAACTGTAGGCTCACATATTACGATTAAGTGACCAATTATTGTAAGATGTAATTCATATCTTAAAATATGAACCTCTATTCAGTTACTGAGTATTGGTTAGACACAAACTTGCAAAAGTAACTACATCTTACCAAATTTTTGAAGACAGTATAGACGACCTATTTATATAAGTAATGCCTCATTTCGACTTCAAGTGACAAGTACAACTCCCTACTCTCATTAGTATATAATTAGCGAATTTTATTCGAACAACTACCTAAAAACAGCGTTCTGTGAGTACTGGTGGACTGATGCTATGTAATTTGAGATTAAATGGCAAACTGTAGATAGCACAAAAGGTTTTATCATTGAGATTGAAAACTATCATTATCGATGTGTTTAACTTTTGAGTGGGTCGAAAATGGTTCTTCGTGGAATGAACATTTATCTGTTTGCAGTTTATTAACTTTTCTTATCAAGAGACTTGAAATTAAGAAACCTAATTAAACACCTCAACAGATATTTATGGATAAGGCAATAAGCCACCTTTATTTTGTAATGCTTAATATGATAATAACTAGCAGTTTAAACCTCAGTGGGTACTGTGTACTTTGATTCAAAATTCGAGTATCGAAACACAAAACAGTCGATTTTAGCACCAGAGACAGACACATAAAATAGTTTGTTCAAAAATAAATTGGTTTATACATAAGTACAAGTGCACTCACTTCAATGAATAAATTACCATGTAGCTCCGAAAGTTTTTCACGATTTAAACCACTGCGTACATGTAAGCCATCAACATTTTGAGAAACGACATGTCGAACCTGAGATTATACAGAGACGAAAGTTTTTGTTAATCATCAACTTAGCAATTAGTCAATCAGTTCAATATGACTGCTAATGTCAACAGTAAGTGAAGTTCAGATGAAGAAACAAAAAAGTTAATTCCACATTTTATTGTTTGCTGAAACATTTATACAGCTAGTGACAAACCCTAGATACAAATTTAGTCTTGTGAGCATTTAGACTGATAAATACCTTTACAGCTAAGTAGCAAAATGATCACTGACACAAGACAGAGAAATGCTGAAGAGGATTTTGAGATAAGAAAAAAAGCCTCGTCTTGCATACATGTGTTAATTACAGTAACAGTCAAATTAGGCTGTTTGGAACGTCTATCTACGAAGTCCACCATGCTAGAGGGGTTGAACAGATGTTGATGACAAAGTCATTTCGCTAGATGAATATAGATATGGCAAACTACTTTTCTCTTGGCCAAATGGGAATTACATGGGTGCTGCCTTTTAATACCGAAAGTTCAACGATCACACCATAAAACAGCACATTTGGCTGATTCACAGCTTTCTCTTCTCAGGGGCAAAGAACATGTAAAGCCCGAAGAAATTTAAACTATTCACTTAACCTCTTTCAGTGTAAAAGTACCGATCATACAACCTGCTTTTTATGCGACCACTGCTGATTATTTCTACCGACAAGATAACACCCTGCGTATTTCAAACATTACAGCCAACTGCACATCGTAGCTTTCAACAACAGCTTATATCAAACAGAACAGCAAACTAGGATGTCATATCAAAGTAATGCTTCACATCTTAGGTTGACAGAAATTTTCAGGTAACAGCTGCAACAACAATCATTTTATGGAATCAAAGTCTCTACAAGAGAGCTTTTATTATAACATTTTAGCCCAACTTTAAACCACATAGTAAACATTTCATTAAAGCTAATAATTCCAACTAAAAAGTGTGAAAAGAACTTGATTTTACTTGAACG